TGGACTTTATATCACTTATAGATACACTGCATGTAAAAACTAAAGCATAAATGATTGGAAAGAAGTACTGGATAAGTGGACCCATACAATTACAAGCTTCTTATATTTTATATGAAGTGCTACAATATTAACTCTAACTAGACCAGAAAAGTTAGGACTGTGTATTATAATTCCCAAGCAACCACTAAATAATACTTCAGAGATATTCGCAGCAAATAAATTAAAACGGAATTCCAATTTTTCCCAATTAAACAAAAAAATAGATAAGAGAGAAGAAACAGATGAATTAAAAAAACAGGTGGGACAATGTAAAACAAATAATAAAATGGTAGACTTAAATCCAACAATGTCAACACTTACCTTAAATATAGACTATCTGATCAAATTAAAAAGCAGAAATTGTCAGAATGGAATATTAAAAATCCACTATAACAGGCACATTTTAAATATACAGACAGGTTGAGATTAAAGGCTTGGAAAAGATACACCATGCAACCAATAAACATAAAGGCTGCAGTGACTATATTAATATCAGATAAACTTTACTTCAAGAGTATTACTAGTGAGAGAGGTGTTTCACAGAAATAAATGAATAAATTCATCGGGGAGACATAACAATCATACACACACGGACATACGCACCCAGAATTAAATGAGACAATAAACAAATCCAAAATCATGGCTGGATATTGGAACATCCTTGTCTCAGCAATTGATAGAACAATGAGATAAAATAAATAAGGTCACAGAGGTATAAACAAAACTACCACTTTGACCTAGTTGTTTTCTAAAAAATACTATATCCAACAACTATAGAATATAATTATTTTCAACTGCACATGGTACTGTTCACAAAGGCATTTGCTAGGCCATAAGACAAGTTTCAATAAATTTTAAAAGATTAAAATCTTCCAGAATAGAAATCTTCCAAAATAGAATTAAATTAGAAATCAGTAATATAAATATATTGAGAAAATCCCCAAATAATTGGAAATTAGCAATATGCTTCTTATGGGTAAAAGAAAAAAAAATAAGGGAAATTAAGAAGTATTTCAAACCAAATGATAATTTGTGGGATATAGTTAAAGCAGTGTTTAGAAGGAAATTTAAAGGCTTAAGTGATAATATTAGAAAACAGGAAAGGGCTAAAATCAGTGGCATAAGCTTCCAAAACTTGAAAAATAAGAGCAAAGTAAATGAAAAGAAAATAGAAGAAAGATAGTTTCACGGGTGAATTCTACTAGACATTTAAGGGAAAGAACAATACCAATTTATACAGACTCACCAAAAAAAATACAGGAGGAGGGAAACCTTCTTATTTTATGAGTTCAAGATTACCCTGCTACCAAAATCTGAAAAGAGAAAAGAAAATTACAAATCAACATTACCCATAATCATAGGTAGAAAAATCCTTAACAAAATATTAGCAAATTGAACTCACATTATATAAAAATATGTCCTGACCAAGTTGAATTTATTCCCAGAATGCAAGGTTGTGCTAAAACATTAGTAAATTGATCAGTATAATTCATCATATCAACAGAATAAAGAAGAAAATACATTTTCAATAAATGCAGAAAAAAGTCATTGATAAAATCAATATAAATCATGTTAAAATCTCTCAACACTTTAAGAATAGAAGGGAATTTCATGAATTTGATAAAGTACATACATGAAAACCCATAGCTAACTTCATATGTAATGATAGAAGACCAAATATTTTCTAAGATTGGGAACAAAGCAAGAATCTCTATTCTCATCATTTCTATTTATTTTATTTGTCATCCTAGTCAGCACAATAAAGTGAAAGAAATAAAAGCAAATAATGCAGAAAGGAAGAAGTAAAATTAATAGATGGCATGATTGTACATGTAGAAAATATGAAAGAAACTATAAACCAACTTTTAGAACTAATAAAGGAATTTGCATGTTTGCAGGATACAAGATGAACATAAAATTATTTACTTTTATATAAAATCAGCAAAAGATTGAAAGTTTAAATGTAAAAATTTCTGCCGTGGCTGGTGTGGCTCAGTGTATTGAGTACCAGGCTGCAAAGGAGACTGGGACTGGTTAGAGTCCCAGTCAGGCCACAGGCCTGGGTTTCAGGCCAGGTCCCCAGCAGGGGGCGCGCGAGACGCAATCACACATTGATGTTCCTCTCCCGCTCTTTGTCCTTCCTTCCCCCCTCTCTAAAAATAAATAAATAAAATCTTTTTTAAAAATTTCATTTTGAGTAGCTCCTAAAACCAAGATATTTAGGAATAAATCTGATATAAATCAGGTAATATCTCTAAAATGAAAACTGTAAATCTTTTCTGAAAGAAATTAAAGAATATCTATATAAATGGAGAGAGAGAGATCCTGTTCATCGATTAAAAAACTCAATATTGAAAATATTGACTGGACATCAGTTCTTCCTCAGTTGCTCTACAGAGTCAACAAAATTGCCATAAGACACCAGCATATTATTTGATTAGAGAAACTGAGAAATTATCCCAGCATTCCTACAGAAATGCAAGGGATCCAGAATATTCAAACTGCTCTTGAAGAAGAACAAAGTTGGAGAATTTTCTCTACCTGGCCTATGTGATGAAAACAAGTGAGTGGAAGAAGTTGGTGCTAACTAAAATCCCTCTGGTGAGAGGGGCGACGTTCCAGCAGAGTGCGGACAAGGTTCTAATTGCTATGCCTTGTGCCTGACTCCACTGGCATCACATGCTGCAGACATATGCCCAGTGGTGGCGCATGGGTGTGTGTACTGGACCACTCTGGTGATGTGATTTTAGGCATGTAGCCCCTCAGTGGTGTGTATACTCCTCCTTATGATACTATGTGCTACCTGATAATCCATGATAAATTCCTTTTCTGCTTAAATTAGCAAAAGTTGTTTCTTTTGTTAACAATAGGGAACCGTGATACAAATACTAGGAAGGAAAATAAAGATGAAGGGACAAAGGGTGACTAAGGCTGTATTTTGGATAAAGAGAAAAGAATGAACTTCTCTGGAGGAAGTGGCATTTGAACACACCATATTATTCCATTTTAGTTTGTAAAAAAATAACAATGTTCAATAGGTGTATATATGCCTAGATGAGCAAAGAATAATATGACTAGATCATTGTGACAGGATGATAATAGCTTCCAAAGATATGTCCACATCCTAAACTCTGGAACTAAACTACCTTATATGGGAAAAGGATCCATGCAAATGTGATTAAGTTAGAGATCTTGAGAAGACATCATTTTGGATTTTGGCTCAGTGGAACTAATATTGAACTTCTGGCCTATGGGACTGTGTTATTTTAAGCTACCAACTTTGTGGAAAATTGTTACAGCAGCCACGGAAAACTAATACAATAATATATTCAACTGTAACCCTCATCATCTGGAGAGAGGGAGGGGGGAGAGGTTAGAATGTGGAGAAAGATAGGAATATGACTATATATATATATATATATATTTCACAATACCCTTTATGTAAATTAAAAATAGATGGACACAAAACAAGAATATAAATTTCATGAAAATATATACAAGAAAAAAGGTCTGTATTAAACATGCAAGAAGAAGGGGAATGGCAATGCAGACAGAAGGAATAGATGACAGCAGAAATGAAAAATTCAGTTAAATGTTTGGAAGATGAAGTTTGAGAAACTTGCTATAATATGGAGCAAAAAGAGAAAGAGGTAAAAAGTACAAGAGAAAAAAAGTAATAAATAAGAGGACCAGTCTAGGAGACTCAATATCTGTACAAAACAAACAGTCCAGAATGAGAAAACAAAAAAGAGAATGTAAACATCAGAGAAATAATTCAAGGTAATCCTCCTGTATGGTTTGATATTAGCTTGGAGAGAGAAGATAGAATAAAATGAGACTGGAGAAGTGTACACGGTTAAATCATAAAGATTGTGGAAGTTCACTTTAAGTAAGGAAGCTTTGCCAGAGCGAATCCTATTTAGAATGGCTGTAAAGGCCCTCTTGACCTACCCAGGAATTTTACATAATATTCACGACCCAAGGTAACATCACTGACTAGGGCAGCCATCCTGGACTCATTTAGCCAAAGTAAACAGTTCTTCCAATATATTACTGAACTCATTGCATTAGAATAAATTATTAATTGGTGTCTATTTTATCTCCTTGAAGGAGGAATGCTGTTTGAGGGCAGAAGCCAGAGTGGGGCTCATTCATCTTTCAAGCCACAATGGTGGTAACTCAACAGTCTTTTGTTTTAACTTGGACCCAGATCAAGAATTTCTCAGTTCATAAACTTCAACCCTTCCCAAGCAGCAAGTAAGGTAAAGATAAAGTGATACCTTTATTTTCGTGCCAGAAAGTTGAGAGTGAGTGTAAGGAAACAGCCATCACATTCAAGTACCAAGCACTCCACACACCTTACCACCAGCGCCCACAGCCAGCCTACAGGACAGGCATTACAATCCCGAGTGTGCAGATGGAGAAATGACCTTGCCAGCTAAAGTCACAAACAGCTAGTAAGTGCCCTGGATTGAAACTCCGCCACGTTCCAATAGAGTTCTTATTCCCAGCCACTCCACCTGCTTCCTCAACATCCACTGTAATTTTTGCAATTATAATCTTACACTCCTGGTAGTTCACATCAATTAATTCACCTCTAGTTTACCATGATTACAACACTACATCATTTACTCGCTGTGAAAAATAACCCACTCTTGAAAAAGAGTCCGTATGAATCTAATTTCCTAATTCACATTTGTGTCTTTCAGTTTAAGTACTCTATCTTTTGTGTCCACATAAGCGTCATTTCTTACTTCTAGTAGGAATATAAATATATTCCTATTTTAAATATATACTGATTTTAAAGTAGGGGGGGTCCACTCTATGAAATACAGATTGTCCTTCATATTTTTATTCCTTCCTACACCGGATGAAAGCATACAGGATATTGCAGACAGCGGAGTACGGTAATAGCCTGTGACTTTAAATAAGGGAGGCACTGCCCCGCCTCCTGGAGGGCCGCCGGCTTTCAAGGCTGCTAGGAGCCGTGGGCAGAGCGCTGCGAGTGGGCGATCGGGATGCTAGGTCTCGGCCGGGCAGTCTCCGCCTGCTTCGCTGGTCTTCCGCTGTCCTCGCGTCGGAGTTGCAGTCCCAGCGAGCAGTCAACGACCCAGGAGCTGCGGCCCCGGAATTCGCGCGCTGCACATGGATGAGCCCCGGGACTCCGAGGCCGCAAGTGCCCCAGGAGGTGACCAAGAGTGGCACGGCCGCACGCGCCTCGGTGGCTTGGGCCCTGTCTCTTTATCAACGATTGAATCAGTTTGTTACGTTTCCGAAACAATCGAAAAAGCTGGGGCCTGACTGTGGGTTTTGGGTCAGCGACTGGCACTGGTGCTGCCTCTATTTTATTCTCTTTAGCTCTGCTTTTAAATTCTGTGTTCATGAATGCTTTTTAATAAGCATGCCATTAGACAGACGGAAAGCATTATTTTCGGCGGCCCCATTGTTGCCCCCACCAGAAAGGAACTTTCAGTTCCTTTTCTAATCTACTACACGGTGTTTACAAAGACTTTACTTCCTCATGTTGCACAGATTTTTTCACTTGCACTGCACTGACAAACTGAAAAATCGAGCAAATCAAACATGTTTTTCTTATTTAAATTTCTTTATTTCCCCAAACAATTTCATTTAAAATTGACTGATAGATGTGCTGGATGTTTGAAACTTAGCAATTGACCTGGTGTCTTTAAGTTAAATGAAAATTTAGCCCTTGGAATAAGTATCAAATTAATTTATATAAAAGGGCTGTAATTATGGTAAAAAAAAGTAAAAAGTAGTGATTTACAGGTTTGTGGGATTTGTTTTTATAGAAGCATACCATTGTAAGTATTGATTTGCCAATTGAATGCTTTAGTTTGTTTTTCTCCTTACACTTTACTTACTTGCTGCTCTAAGAATGCTTAATGAACAGCTAACATCACATACCTAAAACATTATTGAGCTCATGTAGCAGATGAAGCCAGCAACTTGAGAAATTGCATTCTATTTCAGGGAGCAGTACCCCTTGGAGAGCACCCTGTAACTGCATCCTTCTTGAATTTAGTCAAGGTGAAAGATATAGACCTCATGGTGAAGGCAAAACAAAGAAAGTGGTTGGATAAATTCTGCACTGAACTTCTAACAGGCAACACTATGCCAATGAAAGTAGTATGTTTTCAAAATTTCAGTGATGTACAAGGATTGTGTTACATTTGATCACACATGCTATATTGAAAATAGCCCTTAGCTTAGTAAATGTTATCTTCTGAGTGCATAGTCAGTGCATAGAAGTGACAGTTGTGTACTTAGATCAGTGGTTCCAATTACATGCCTATAATTACAGTGTGTTTGCATTTAAGGTGATGGCCCCGCAGAAAGTGCAAGAGAGACACCCAACCGGCATTCGAGAGAACAGCTTTTTGTACTGATATCCGCAGCTTCCATTAACTTAGGCTCTATGATGTTTTATTCTATCCTTGGACCCTTTTTCCCCAAGGAGGTGAGACATTTTTATGTTCTTATGAATTCTTAATTACTAAAAGCCTTTTGAATTACTTACTTTTACAATATGTAAAATGTAAAGATGTACATATAGTAAAGATGATGTATAGAACTTCAGCAAACAGAAGACTTCTTATAGAATATTTGGTACCAGAAAAAGAAGATCCAGTCAAAAAGAACATCATCTTGGGAGGTAACTCACCTAAAAAAAATTGACCTTCTTTGCTTACTATGCAGTTTGATTAACTTTTATTTGCTTACTACTATTGAAAAAAAAGAGGGCTGCACTGAATAACCGATTTTAATGTTACTGCAAAAGTCCAAGTTAAGACAGTAAAGGAAACCATGGTTCACTAAATTCCCTTTTCTGACTTGAATTTATTGTGGAATTGAGAGGCAGTGTTTGTGCCAAGGAAGAATCCTGATTAATCTTGACTAGTTCCTTCTAATCATAGCTTTTTGTATGGTGTTAGGATCTGTAGTTAACGGCACAGACTCAAAAGGGAAAGCCCGGAATCTGGAGGTCGGGAGGACATAGCATGCAAGGAATGGCACTGGCTTGGCTGAGTGGAGATAACATGCCCCTGTGTTTTACTTCCCAGTCTTTGCCAAAGCCACAGGGCGCTGGCCCCTCAGTCCCTCTAACTGCTTTGATGAAATGTAGCTTCATTCATTGTACACCAAAAGAGGATAAAAATGGCTTCTCTGCTAAAGACCAATGCGACTCTGTTCCCAGACAGTGCTGTTTCGTTTCCAGGTACTTTCCCAGTTATCCCCAGTTGGTCTCTGCAGCTATTCCATAAGATAGGCAGGGCAGTAAGATTCTCATCATGTTGTAAATGAAGAAACAGGCTCAGAAAAGTGACTGGCTCAACCCAGTTCTATTCACTGAGCAGGAGTGGGAGGCTTAATGACTTCCCACTCTAAAGTGTGCTAGGCTTTTGGATGCTAGGGCAGAAAAAAGATCAGGAAAATGTCCCTCTCTTGTCTGTCCATTAGGAGTGAAAAAATATGGGAAAAAAAGTTGCAGAGTATTTGGACACATTTTAAGAAAAGGATTTCCAAAATGTTGTGAGACTCCAGAGGAAGAATTGGTTAATATTACCAGGGATGCCTACAGGGCTGGGGCATGGTAGGGAGGGAAGTTCAAGAAGGGGTGGTACTGAAAGGGACTTCATAGGATAAGTCTTAGGTAGGTCTTGAGAAACGGTAGGTCTCCAGGTGAACAACAGAGGCAGGGGTGCTCTAGGAAACAGCCAGTCACAGGGTTAGCAATGTAAATTGCATGTCCTTGAGGAGCAGCAGCCAACTTGGCGAGACCTGGGACTGGGAGGCGTGGGGTCTCATAAGGAGTCGAGGACCTGCGGAGGCAGGCTGGGATGGGAATGCAAAGGTCCTTCCGTGCATGCCAAAGATTTAGTCGGGGAGATGTCATCAGAGATGCTTGAGCAAGACAGAGTAGCCTAGCCAGATGGGGTTTTGGAAAAAAATAATGATGGCTGGGAGCCTGTGGGATTAAGATGCAGAAGACTGGAGCGCATGGACCAGCCAGTTAGAAGGCCATTTCCCAGCTCAGCTGGAACTCAGTGAGTACAACTAATGTTAATTTCTTCTTAGTAGAATATAGACAAAGGAAAACTGAGCTGGGTGTGTGGGCATGTTTCTTAAGTTTTTGATTTAGCTTTTTTGCTCGCAGGAGGGAAAGCTGGAGGAAAGAAGACAGAGACAAGGGAGGGAGCATTCTACCTTTAAAAAGCGTCGATATGAAGAGAGGGGTCTTCCTTTCTGTTTCATATAGAAGCCTCATGTCTGGCAAAACTTACCCTCCTTCCCATGTGTTCTGTCACCCTTCCCATTAGCCAGAGGTCATTAGGCAAAGGGAAAAGAGGGCCCTTCTTAAAATCTGGTGCAAGATCCCTGTTTCTGCTCGTCCATTTTCCTGGCACCCTCCTCCTTTGTCAGAGGATTACATGTGAACCAAAAATTGCTTATAATAGCTGTTCTTGCTTCCCTATTGTGAAGCAGGGCCCATGCTCTGAAAGTGGTGTTCAGCGGCTACTGTGGTATGTGGTTGTAGGACATACTGTCGCCATTTTGCTTCTACAAACAGAAACTGTCATGATATCAGTGACTGGAAACTTTGCAAGTCTCTGCCCTCATCTATAAAATTGGGCTAAAAATATATCCCTTATTTAATTGTTCTTAAATGCCATGGAAAACAGCACTAAACAGAGATTCTGGCTCATAGTACAGGTCCAATAAATGTTAGCTGCTATAACCATTATATATGTTCTTCCAGACTCCAGAATTAAATAGTAGAACTGTTAAGCAAAATACATGGATAATGTAACTTGGCCATGTATTGATGTTCCTGGCCTTGAAGATGTTCTTTCTACATCTTCATTGACTCCTTTGGTAATACCTGCCCTTTGAGATACCTATTTTAGTTTGCTAGGCTTGTCATAACAAAGTACCACAAACTGGCAGCTTGAACATAGGAAATTTATTGTCTCACAGTTCTGGAGACTGGAAGTCCAGGGTCAAAGTGTCAGCTGGTTGGTTTCTTCTGAGGGCTATGAGGGAAGGATCTATTCCAGGCCCCTCTCCTTGGCTTTGTCTCTTCATATGATCTTCCCTCTATGAGTGTCTCTAAGTCTTCTCTTTTTGCATGTGAATTCAGTTGTATGTCACAATAGTATCATTTGAAGTTCAAAAGAAGCAGATTTAGGGTAAATACTTTATCATCTGTAACAAATTTAGGAAATCACTGATAGAATAGGCTATAAATATTAAGAGGCATAATTCATGGATGACATACTACTCTAATTGTTTCAAGGGAACATAGAGAATGTTGGGAAGACAAGGGAGCATCTTTTTTCTGTGTTGGTAATGTCAGAAAAGAAAACTTTGGCTTCTCCAAACTTCAGGTATTTGGTATTAATATCAGAAACAGAGAACTAGACTGAATGGGTCTTGGTATGACTCTTGGTATGCCAGCTCAATGGGCTTCCTATTCTTGGGGTTTCTGACTGGCAGAATGTTTTTTTGTCTTGAGTGGAGTTTGATCCTGTAAGTAAATGTGACACTGAGTAGGAAAAACTCTACCTCCTGTGTGTGTCTCCTGTACTCTCACACTACGACCACACTCGCACACTTTGAACAGCAGATGTATGGGCTTTTTCCCACATCAAACAATTCTTTGTGACACCAGCCAGGTGTCCTGCAGTTCATTTCAATTCTGACAGACGCCCCCCGCCCCCAGGTTAAGGGCCCAGTTCCACAAGATATGCCAACACAAGTAGTGGGTCCCTAGTTTATGCACTACTTCTGTCTGACTGGGCTACAAATTGGGGGTTCCCATGGCCTCCCTATCCCCTTGGATTTGATTACTTGGGTGAGTGGCTCACAGGACTAAGGGAAATACTTATGTTTACTGGTTTATTATGAACGGATCTGATGAAGTATACAGGTGACTATTCTGATGGAAGAAATGTGTAGGCCAAGGTATGTGGAAAGGGGCACAGAGCTTTCATGCCCTGTCTGGGCATGCTTATCTCTGGACACTTCCATGTATTTACCATCCTGGAAGTTCTCCAAACCTTAGGGATCCTTATAAAGGCTTCATCATGTAGGTGTGATCAATCATGGACTCAACTTCCAGTCCTTCTCTAGAAAATATGGAGGAGGGGCTTCTAATCTTGGATTAGTCCTTTGGGTTGTCGGGGGAGAGGCAGTGTTCATTAGAACAAAAGACATTTCTATTACCTGGAAAATTTCAGGACAGTTAAGTGTTCAGGGTCAGAAACCAGGGTCAAAAACCAAATATTAGAACAAAAGATGCTCCTAATGCTCTTATCACTTAGAAAATTACAAGGGTTTTTAGGAGTTCTGTGCCAGGAACCAGGGGCAGAGACCAACCTATATATTTTCTATTACTTCACAGATATCATTAAGGAAGGATGTCAAGATCAGCTGTCTGCTCAGTTCCATGAGTAGAAGTAGAGCACAAATTTCCTCAGCCATGTACACTTTTGTGTATACTTTCTTATACTCTCTAATTCTGATTTTTTGCCAGCTGAAGCTAACAATTTGGGGGGAGTGGGAGGCTTTATTGAGGTATAATCAATATACAAAAAATTGCACACATTGAATTCATCCATCTTGATAAGTTTGGACATATGCACATACTGGTGATGCTATAGCCACAATCAAGATAATAAATATATCCATTCCCTGCAACAAATTCCCTTGTGTTCTTTTGTGGATTTTTGGTCTTTTCTTTTCTCCTTCTTCTTCTTGTAACAACACAACATGAGTAAATCTTGCTTAACAGAAACTTTACACTCAACGAAAAATAATTCCCTAACTCCCCCTCTCTGAAGCCCCTGGGAACCACCATTTTATTTTCTGCTTCTGACTATTTTAGATACTTCATATGAGTGGAATCATGTAATATTTTTTGTCCTTTGTCTGGCTTATTTCACTTAGCATAATTCCCTCAAGGTTTGTCCATTTCGTTGAAAATGCCAGGATTTCCCTTTTTCTTCTTTTTAAGGCTGAGTGATACTCCACTGTATGTATATGCCACATTTTATTTATCCATTCATCTGTTGATAGACTTCTGGGTTGTTTCTATAACTTAGCTATTCTGAATAGTGCTGCAGAGAACATGGGACTACAAATATCTTTTTCAGACACTGCTTTCATTTCTTTTGGTTATATGCTCAGAAGAGGGATGGTTGAATTATATGGTAGTTTTATTTTTAATGTTTTCCCTTCTAAATGTTTTCTATAGTGGTTGCACTATTCTTCATTCCCACCAACATATAAGGGTTCCAATTCCTTCACATCCTCACTAACACTTATCTTTTGTTTTTTAAGTAATAGTCATCTTAACAGGTGTGATATATCTTATTGTGATTTTGATCATCATTTTCCTGATGATTAGTGTTCTTGAGTACCTTTTCACATACTTGTTGGCCATTTGTGTATCTTCTTTAGATAAATGTTTAGTCAAGTTCTTTGCTCATTTTTAAATCAGATTTGTTGCTGTTTTTGCTATTGAGTTGTAGGAGATTCGTATATTTTGGATATTAACTTCTTACCTAATAGATAGTTGGTAATTATTTTCTCCCATTCTATAGGTTGCCTTTTCACTGTTGGCTGTTTCCTTTGCTGTGAAAAAAGCTTTTTAGTTCGATATAGTCCCAGTTCTACTTTTGGTTTTGTTGTCTTTGCTTTTGGTGTCAAACCCAAGATTGTTGCTAAGACCAATGTCAAGAAGTATGTTCTCTATGTTTTCTTCGAGGAGTTTAATGGTTTCAGGTCTTATGTTTAAGTCTAATTTGTTTTGAGTTGATTTTGTGAATACTGTAAAATAGAGATTCAATTTAATTTTGTTTTGTATGTATGTCGTTTCAACATCACCAATTCATGAAGAGAATGTTTTCCCCATCATGTGTCCTTGGCACTTTAGTGGAAGATCAATGGACCATATGTGTGTGGGTTTTCTTTCCTGGGCTCTCTTTTCTGCTCATTGATCTATCTGTTTGTCTTTATGCCAAGGTCATATTGTTTTAATTACTGTAGTTTTTAAATTTACTTTTGAAATTAGGAAGTATGATGCCTTCAATTTTGTTCTCCTTAAGAATGTAAAGCTAACGATTCTTTATGAGCATGGTAGGTGAATTATTTTCATGTCAAAAACAGATTTTAGTGGTTTCCCTTACTTTACCATCCTCTTTATATTAAAATAACAATTTTTGAAATTGCTACACAAATAAAGGAAGATGAGAATGATGGAAGAAGATGATACTCTCATCTAATAGCTCCGTTTTTCAACATTGATGCTAATTTGTCTTTCAAACTTGTTTCCTTTTCAATTTCTTTAAAGGCTGAAAAGAAAGGAGCCAGCAATACAGTTATTGGTATGATCTTTGGATGTTATGCTTTGTTTGAACTGCTAGCCTCTTTGATATTTGGAAAATATGTAAGTATTAAAGCTCTTATGAACATTTTGATTTTGAAAAAATTGTATAATGAGTTATTCTAATTTATTAGTCTAGAATTTCAATTGATACAGAAACAATTATACTTTATGAATTGTACCACCATTGACAGTTCCAGTCTTAAGGCTGATTGGTTGATTGATTTTAACTTCTTTCGTTTTAAGAAATGTATGTTTTTATGCTATTAAATAATGATTATAGTAGGGGGGAGGGTAGAGAGTGGGGGGATTGAGCAAAAAGGGTAAAGGACTCCTGGACATAGGCAAGCGTGGTGACTGCAGGGGGAAGTGGGGTATAAGGGAACTAAATGGTAATGGAAAAAATACAATATGAAATAAATTTATTTCTTTATTAAAAAATAAATGATAATTATGGTAACTGTTCATATCTTTCCAAAATTGTATATTTCCTGATACAGTGGATTTGCTTATGTCAATGCAGACTTGTAGCCGTCATAAATTTACCACTCTTTTTTGACATTTATTATAGCTTGTACATATTGGAGCAAAATTTATGTTTGTAGCAGGAATGTTTGTCTCAGGAGGAGTTACAGTTCTCTTTGGGTAAGTCATGCTTTGGCATGGGTGAGGTACTGCTCTTTTCAGTGGGTACAGTTAAAAAGGAAAAGAATAAAAACCAGCTTGGCATTTGAGACTTGTCCTATTCTCTTTCAGTGTATTAGACCAAGCTCCAGAAGGACCAATATTTATTGCTCTGTGTTTTCTAGTAAGAATAACAGATGCAATAAGCTTTGCTGCAGCAGTAACTGCATCTTCTTCTATCCTTACAAAGACTTTCCCAAATAATATAGCTACAGTAATGGTATGTATTTTATTAATTTTTTTCCTATTCTTAGTGCAGGCTAAAATATTTGTTTTACCTTCCAAGTTAAAGCTGGGGTCCATTCTATTAAACCTGTTTTTTTCTGCAATCTGCTGAAAAATGTTTGTACTTCCAGCAGCAGGCTGTCAATAAGTGTATCATTAATCTTACTTAGGTCTCTTCCTGGGCTTAGAATCTCCTGAATGGGCAGTTTAACAGGTAAATGTAGTCCAAACCAAATATTCTTTTTATAACTTTTGTTTTTTTAAAAAGATCTTATTTCTTTTTAGAGAGAGGTGAAGAGAGGGAGAAAGAGAAGGGAGAGGAACATGTGTGAGATACATTCATCAGTTGCCTCTCACACGCCCCCAACTGGGGACCTGGCCCACAACCCAGGCATGTGTCCTGACTGGGAATCAAACCTGTGCCCTTCTGGTTTGCAGGCCGGTTCTCAATCCACTGAGCCACAGCAGCCAGGGCTCACATTTGTTTTTTTAAAAAATACCTCTTTAGTAGTATTTTGCTGTCACTCTGTAGCCGACATTAGGGCTCGGCTGCCTGAAGCGTTCCTCTGCTTTAGAAGAGGATTATCTCTAGTGGTCTAGTGGCCGAACACTTGATTTGTCCTCAGTCCTTCCTCCACCTTTCCAAGATTCATGGGAGAGATCTTAAAGATCATCCTGAATTCCACAAGTGCTTTTGTGCTGTCTGTCTGAGGAGTATCCTCTTATTTTGCCATAAAAACCCGGACGCTGTATTGACATACTTATCATGTATTGCCTAGGTGCTTAGTCATCTGGAATTAGTGACATACCAGGTTCCTGTCCCAGGAACCTGCCTCCCTGATCCCAGGCAGGCTTTCTCATAGCTCTCTTGGACCCATTCATCTCTGAAGAACCTGGGTCTGTCCAGAGACCAAATGTCACCTCAGGGCATAGAATTGCTCTCTAGACTTCAGTTCTAATCAGCTTAGTGCCAAGGACTCCCTCATTTACCCATACTAATACTATATTAAAAAGTTTTGACCACCAAATAAACTATTTGCTATATAGATAGTTCTTCCCACTTTTTATTTTATGTACATATAGTTGGATAGGCTTATGCTAGAGCCATTCGGCACATAGTCTTGGCCATTGTGTCAGGTATACTGTTTACATTTCCCAGGAATATAGTTCCCAAAGAGGATCCAGTGGACTAGTTGCTCTGTAAAACAAAGTTTTGTGGCTAAACAAGTTTGAGGATACATATGGAGTATGTTAAGACTGTGAGAAATTCTATAGTAGGAATAGTTTAATGTTCCACAACTCAATTTGATTATGCAACCCCTTTCTGACTCTTAAAGAACTGGTGTTTTGTGGAATGCTCTGGAAAATGCTGCCCAAGACATTCCTATGATCCAGCAGACATTCCTGTGATCCAAAATCCAAAAATCCTTTGGATTTTCTAATCAACAGAGGAAAACAGTATTGGAATACCAACTTTCTGAATAAAATTGCAGCCAAAAGATAACTACCTAACATGGTAGTTGACCTGGATAACATTATCATGATGAAATATAGAATTGCTTTGTTCTTTATGAAACATTGACATTTATTAATGCACTACTTTTGTGTATTTGTGAGGTGTGAGGATATGAAGTTGCAAGCCACAGGTCTCTATTTAATGCCCCTAAACTAGACCAATTTAAAATGGTGCAGTTTTTGTAAGACTTCCGCAATAGCAAAATATTTAATTTTATTTTAATTTTAATAAAATAATTTGATATGGCACAAAATTCACAAGTTACAAAAGTAAATATATAGTGAATATATTCTACATATTACTGTTACTCAGCCTTCATAGACATGCCTGTTGTTGAGGTACCTAATTCCAACACTGTTCTCCCAGAAGCAACAGATACTACAGGTTTCTTCCCAAGTGATTCCATGTATTTAAACACACACACACACACACACACACACACACAGTATGATTCCTTCCATTTTTTCTGCACTAATGATAGCATACCCTGTCTTACAATTATTACATGGACATTGAAATTATCTTGGAGATCTTTCTATATCTATAAATGGATAGTTCCTTTCTCTTTGCTTGCCTTTAATGGCTGTATAGTACTTCACTGTATGTATGGCTATAACCTAGTTTACTTCATTTGATGAATATCTAGATTGTTTACATCTTTTCTTATTGCAAACAGTGTTAACAGACATAAACTTTCACATACACCATATCACATCCTATGGCTATACCTGTAAGTTTAATTCCCAGAAGCAGCATCCTTGGTCAGAGAATGTGTGCATTTGTAATGACTGATTTGCCAAATTGCCCTCTGGTATTCACTCACCAGCAATGTCCGAGGGTACTTCTTTCCTCAGGTTCTTGAAGATATAGAGGGTTTGACAGGCAATGGGTAAACATTGGTATCTTGTGCTTTCAATGTTCATTTCTCTGAAAAGTGAAGGTGAGCTTCTTTCTGTGTGTCTAAGAGTTCTGTATTTCATTTTATGTGTCAACAGTCTCTATATAGCATTTGCCTATTTACCTATTAGATTGTTGGCTTTTTTTCTCATTGATTAGTAGTAACTCTCTTGATATATTTGGGAAATAGTCCTTTGTCAGTATTTTTTCTCTATCTCTTGTCTTTTGATATGTTTTGCTATGCATAGTTTTTCCTATTTTTATGTAATCAGATTTATCAATCTTTTCTTTTGTTTTCAGAGTTTTTGTGTGATTATTAGAAAAATCCCTACCATAAGGATTAAAAAACAAAAAGCCCCCATATTTTATTTTTTAGTATTTTTATGATATCAATATGTATGTTTAAATTTTGGGTCTGTCTTGAGCTTGCATGTGTGTGTATTTTGAAGTGGATAGAATTTTTTCAGATAATGACGATTAAATCGTTATTTGTTCATTTTTCATACAAAATATATTAACTCAGTTTTTTTTTGTTCCCCCATTTTTAGGGAAGTCTTGAGATTTTTTCTGGACTGGGACTAGTGTTAGGGCCTCCATTAGGTGGCTTCTTGTATCAGTCCTTTGGCTATGAGGTGCCTTTTATTTTTCTGGGATGCATAATTTTGCTGATGGTGCCACTCAACATGTACATTTTACCTAATTATGGTAAGACTACATTTATTACTCATTTTAAGAACCTTAAGTTTAACTGTTTTTATGGCTTTGTAGGAGACCGATATAACATATACTCACTCTTATTTTATATAATGAATAATACATTTTTAGAGTAACGTGAAATAACTGTTTCTATTTTCAGAAATATCCTGTAGGCCATCAGTTTATATACATTTCTGTATATCAGAAATGTTTCCAACCTTTAGAACTAGCAAATATTTAATTTCTGATCATAAAACATTGCCCATATGCAGTGCCCTCCAAAGATCATCATGGACTGAAATATTCAGAATGACAAGTTGCCTTGCAGCACACATGGCTCCATCTTCTTAGAAGCCTGTAAAGATGGGAGGGCACGGTCACTCCCACCTTCCCAATGGTCCTCGCAACTGTCTGCGCAGCACAGCCTGAGTGCAAGGACACAGGGCCACAGCCAGCAGTAATGGGGGTCACCCTGGCCTCAAAGCTTTGTGCCCAGCAGGAGTTAACCTCTCCTGTAACAACTCCATGGGCACAGCTTCCAGGGTCTCCACAATCACACTCAGGGAGGCACAAATACATCATCAGCTATTTATGGTTTGTTTACAATTCCTTCTGTTCACATTTACCAGGCAAGGGTCATTTTTATCATGAGCAACATTGCCTGGTAACATAGTTGGCATTTTACCCATATCAGATTACTAGGGGGACGGAACTAGAATTAACTTAAGAGCTGGAGAAGAGGGCTAGAGACCGTTGCCAGAGAGGCACCGTCACCCTGAAACGTAGGGCAGGGCCTGGCCTCTAACACCAGTAACACTGCACCGGCGTGGTTTCTGTAGACCAGCATCCTGGCGCCTGCTCAGACTTGGATCACAGGTGAACACTTGGCTGATAACTAAGCAACTGGCACCAAGTCAGATTCTCAAGCAGCAGAGGAGCTTGTTAACCCTTTACCACACCGTGTAAGGAAAAAAAGACTTTGCTTACTTGTTAACAATAGGACTTAGTATTGAGAACTTCTGTGAGGATGGAATGGACTCTCTCCAATATCTGTTACTCCCTGAGTCCCACATCTTGGTATCTTTGGCAACCCCCTCTGATTGCCACCAGCCTAGTTGCTTAGTACTTATTTCTCTTCATTTTTGTTATTCCTCAATTAAAATTACTCTGCATCTTTATTCAATTTAACAAAGTCCCAGCTAGCTGTATTTTTATGAACGAAGTGGTTTGACAGACTTGCTGATTATCTGCAGAAGGATCTTCTAGTTAGATTGAATGGGAAAAATGGTATAAAAAATCTCTAAGATTGATAAAGTTAAGGCTGTAAATATTGCCATTAAGGAGTGCTTTCTAAAATTATTGTTTTGGGAGAGCTTATAGATGGAAGCTAGAAAAGTAAATCTTTTATTATGAGGATTTCAGCAGCATGTTGTGTTCTACCGCACTCATTTTTCTCCTTCTAGACCCACGGATGATGTGGCTTCAGCTTTGGGTGATTGAGTCAGCGATGGTCCCCTCTTTTTCATCTTTTATATCTGTTCACCAGGTTCCCTCCTCTGTACGGCTCTAAAGAAATATTTCTAAAACACAGTCATAGGCTTGTCTATCCTCTTATTAAAAATCCCTAAATCTATAAAGTCTGAACTTTATCCTGAGAGCCACTAAGAACTGTGGTTAGATTTCAGCTGAGGAGTCACATGAGCTGGAGGCCTCTCCCTCCCATGCTACCCAACCCTTGTTTGTCCTTCAAAACTTAGTTCGTATTACCTCTTTTGGGAAGTTTCTTTCAACTTTCTCAATCATTAGACTAAATGCTGAATAAGTGGCACCGCAGTTCTCAGTATGTTTTCCGCCCCCATGCACATGAGGGGCACCCCACTTCCCCATCTCTACCAGTAGCTGCCAGTCACAGGCATTGTCACGCAGGGCATCGTGTACTTCTAAGAATATATCAGAATTTGGGGGAGCAGAGAGTGTACCAAATACCACATGATTCTGCCATGTGACTCTTGAAGCAGGTATCATCCTAACTTTTCATTACTTGAGCTTCTTCAACAGCTTAATTGAACTCGTTATGTTTGTTTTCATGGATATTCTTACTATTTTGATAACCCGTTTTCACTGGAATGCATAATTTTGCTGATGGTACCACTCAACATGTACATTATACCTAATTATGGTAAGACTGCATTTATTACACCATTGGGTTTAGAGAAGGGAACCATTTATCCCAGAACAGTTTGTCTAATATAAATCCATAATACCTTTTATATATACAATAAGTGTAACTGATTAAAGTTGACCTTTTATAATTTATATCTAAAAGGTGGCTAATAAACATCTTTAATGTATAATTCAAAATTCACACCAGTCTCCTTGCTGACACTACCACACCACGCCACACGGTGGTGCTTGACCTCTTCTTAGGCAGACTACACACACTCCCTAGGTAGTTGAAGGTCCTGGGCGGTGGGAAGATTTTGGTTTACAATTGAGTATTTGGCTAATAATTAAGAAACTAACACCACAGTTTAACTTTATCCCCCATATTCTGACAAAGTAGCACTTAAAATAGTTTAACCACGCTTTGTGCTTTTTTTGTACTTAGCTCCATACTAGATCATTATTCAACAAGAATTGATCGAGTAATGCACCATGCGGGGTGCTAATGGAGAAGTGAGGATTTACAAGTGCTGATCCTGGCTCTGAAAGGCCTTCCTCATCCAAACTCAGCCAGTAGCACCTGTGGCCTGGGCCACTGCAAAACGCTCCTAACTGGTACCTGTCTCCGTTCTCCTCAAGGCCACAGAGAGGTCTCTTTAAACCACAGATCTGAGTCTCACCCCTTGTTCGAAATCTCTAGGGTTTCTCGGGGTTCTTAGCATATTTTACAAAGTCCTGCATAATCATATCTCTACATTCTTCTGCTGTATGAATCTCCCCACTACATAGATATCCCCAACCCCAATCTCCTCCTCCAGCTTTTTCTTCTTTCATTTCCTTGAACACAATAGTTTTTCTTTACTTCTGAGTCTTGGAATGTGCCATTCCTGGAACAATATGCCTGGAGTATTCTTTCATCCTCTTTGCTTGCTCATCACAAACTTATCTTTTAGGCATCAACTTAGATATTCCTTTTGGAAAGACTTTTCTATATAGTGTTCCTTGTTGGTTTTTTTTTTGTTTGTTGTTTGCTTATTTGTATTAAGAAAACGCTCTCATATGCTCCAATAGATACACTCCTAGCTCCATCTTACCTTCCTCCACATCTCTCTGAAGGCAGAGTCTGAATTGGTTCCCTTTGTCTTTGCCCAGCATTTTGCATGGTACCTGGCTCAGTAAAGAATTTGTTTAGTAAATTAATTGAAAGCTAGGAAAGCCATCAAACAATAGAAAACAATGTAAAAAGAAATATAGCGTAAGTGCTAAAATATATGGTATAAATGAAATGCTACTGGGCTGTAAAAAAGAAGAAAATTATACCCTTTGGAACAGCATGGATGGACCTGGAGAACATTATGCTAAGTGAAATAAGCCAGTCAGAGAAAGACAAACAACATATGATTTCACTCATATGTGGAATCTATATGAACAAACTGATCTAACAAGCAAAAGAAAGACAGACTTATAGATGGACAGCAGGTAATAGCTAATGTTGGGGGGAGGTTGGGGGTGGAGGGGGTTGAGCAAAAAGGAAAAAGGGCTCATGGACATGGACAACAGGGTGGTGATTGCTGGGGAGAGGGAGTTTTAGGGGGCTAATTGGTAATGGGAAAAATACAAAAAAAGAATAAAATAAAATAAAATATATGGTATAGACATGAAGTGCAGCAACTAGAAACTAGAAACTAGTTTCTCTAGGAAACTAGAGAAAAGTAAAATTTGTGGAATAATTAGGGCCAGAGCTAGAAATAGAACTTGAAAAATGAAAGGAGGCATAGAATATGACCAGAGGCTTGGAAACAACCATACCTGGTGCTGGGAACAGTGAAGAAGCTGAGGGAATGGTGGGAAGGGAGGTTGGCACTCAACTGAACTTGAATGCCAAATGTACTTTACACATGATTCAATAGCACACTTTGAATCCAGTGTCTTCTTTGCTAACAGGAAAAAAATTGTCTTGTGTTCTTTGATGAACTCAGATTCTTCCTCAGCACGCACACCTTGTTCCTTGATAAAGCATCTGGCCTTTCCCATGCACCAAATTAATATTACAGATTCTTTATTCCATCTGGGGAAGGCCACATATGCTTCTATCAGGGATGCCCAAACTTTTGGCCTCTCTGGGCCACACTGGAACAAGAGCTGTCTTGGGCCACACATTAAATACACTGCGATACATAATCACAAAAAAAACCTCATAATCTTTTAAGTAAGTTTACGATTTTGTGTTGGGCCACATTCACAGCCATCCTGGGCTGCAGGTAGCCTGCGGGCCACAGGTTGGACACTGCTAAGTTAACCTATAACTTAAGACTCCTTCTCCAATACTCTGATTCTGGTTGATATTTTCTGAATCTGAGACATTACTTTTAAGAAAACTTAATGTGGCCTCTAGATTTGAATAACTTTTGCAAATATAGGTAATAAGCAATTTTAGGCAAACTCAAGAGGTGCAGTTATTTTGATTACCAGATAATGATTGCCTTACCAATTTTACTTTTCAAAATAGGTTAAATGATAATTGATTTTAATTACTCTAATTTCTTTTTTCATTTTTTACCCCAAAGTGGCTGATCCAGGTGAACACTCATTCTGGAAACTCATCAGTTTACCCAAGGTGGCCCTCATATCCTTCATGATCAACTCATCCAGCGCAGGTTTTGGCTTCCTTGATCCTACTCTGTCTCTGTTTGTTATGAAGAAGGTGAGTAGCCTGATTACTGCAGAGTTCTGCACTGTAGGAAGTGGACATAATAGTTTGCTCTTGGGCCCTGCTGGGTGGGAAGTTCTCTGAGTGGCTGTGAGAAAGAGACAGAGTGAGAACTGCACACCAAGGTAGTCTGTACCTTCACCTGATGTCTCTATAACTAGGGGTCTGATTCAGTGTAAATGAAAAAAGCCTTTCACGAAGTGGCCCCAACATTTCTCTCCTTTTCAATGCCAAACCTGAGTTATCGTTAAGTCTGGCTTGTGTATCGTCCTGGCTGCTTGACAAGGACACTTTCCCTCTGTTTGTTTGAATTTCAGTGGGGAATTGGAAGGGCCCAATGGCTTATTTAATGCAAGGTGTCCTCAAACAGATCCCCTCTGAGTCCACTTACATATAATTGAATGACTGTGGACTATATTAATCTGGAGTAGGAGAGAGAAAACCAGAGCCTCTCCATTTTTTTAGTGCTGAAAAATAAATACTGAATTCTAAAAGTTTATCATCATAGGATTTTTGTTTTTAGATATTTTTGAAAAAGTTATTAATAATGCAATAAAGAGTTCCCAAGTGTGGTAGTTAGTTTTACTGGAGAACTAATGTGTCTATAAGACAGAAATCTATTGGTTGCAGCCCACGCTGACTTTATGTGAAGCACTAGAATTAAAAAAGCACAATTAATAGAATCATACCCCTTGAAGTCACTAAAGAGAGTTTGGGGTGCATAAACTACCCAAAAAGATAAACTTGGAGACTATAATTTCAATGCACGGCCCAAGGTATAAAGAATAATAAGATACCATGTTTAAGCAATGAACACTCAGGCAATAACATATAAGAAAAATATTTTATGTTTATGGTGACACATTCCATTCACATCAACAATGTGTCTCTTTAAGGGTCATTTTTCTGTCCACAAGAGGTAGTGTCTAAAAAAATGTAAAAAATTTATAACCATTCTCTGGTAAACCCAAGTTGCACATATCTATCTTATAAGAAATTTTTAGGAATGTATTTTTCTTTTTTCTATGGATTGTTTTTTATCCTTTTTCTGACTTCTTATCCTTTGTTTGAATTGGTGATTTGCTGTCTGGTCATGACTGCCCAGCCTTTTAGCGTAGGAGGGCTGTACTCTGTCTCCCCCACGTCACAATGTCAGAAGAGGACGCATCTGACATTTGTATCTTGCTCCGGTCTTTAAAAGGGCTAATTTTTAACATAAGTCGATATTTGTCATAAGAATTGTTAAAATGCATACTGGCTCCTTAATTTATTAGCTCATGGGATTAATTAAGAAAATTAGTTAAGGAAATTGAGGAAAATGAGAGCAACTCTGATAAGCAAAAAAAAAAAAAAAAAGGCATTTATATCATGGTAGTAACAGTAACAGAATCAAAGTTATGTGGTAGCTTACTGTTTGAAAAGCCTTTTAAAATATACTATACCACTGAGTTATTTAAATAGATATTAATACCCTTTGAGGTGGGCAGAAAACTAAAGTTTGCAAAGCATTCATTTACATGTAAAAAGCTATGATTCATAGAAGAAAAATTGTATGTTTAATATCAAATGCTACAAAGCAAAAAATCTAGGACGTCTGACCTCTGGTTAGGTTTCCCCCCATAGAGAAAAAGTAATCCATTGTCAAAAGCAAGACAAAAATTAGAAAGAAGGCTGAGTGTTATTAATAGACTGATGGTAGATAACAAGAGCCGAAGGAATGGCAGAAAATGTTTATTTCCAAAATGACCTCATTGCTTAACTTTAATACAAGATTTCTTTTACAGTTTAGTTTACCAGCTGGATATGTGGGATTGGTATTCCTGGGTTTGGCACTATCCTACACCATTTCTTCACCGCTCTTTGGTCTACTAAGCGATAAAATGCCAGTACGTACACTTAATTTATATTTATGAATCACTTTTTGTATGTTTAGATCAGTGGTTTTCCAGCTGTACCTCTAGAGCTCTAGAGGTCCATTGATTAGAGGTGACATACTCATTTTTTTAAACTTCAGCTTTATTGAGGTATAATTGACAAAATTGTAAGATATATAAAGTGTACATCATGGTGAATTGTTATATATATACATTGTTAAAGGAGTCCCTCCATCTACTGAATTAACACATCCATCACCTCTTTTATCTATCTTTTTTGGAAGAGGTGAGAACATTTAAGCTCTAATATGTTCAATTTTTTGAGCTGATGAAGAGGTTCCAGTGTGAAGTTCCAGTGACTTCCAACCTACCATCACCCTGAGCAGGTTTAACTTTTAATTTCTTCATCTGGGAAAAGAGGAACCTTGTTGAAAAACTATTGGATTAGACTTTCTGAAGGAAAAACTCCCTTAATGCAAAAAAACCAAAAAACAAACAAAAAATGAGTTGACTTTAATAATTAGGGCAGAGTCCCAGAGGTATTAGGACTTGATCAAATTGAGAGGAGATAGTTTAGTTTTTCTGTGGGAATGAAAGACTTGGTCACATATTTATGCATCAGTTATCCTATAGCCATCCTGATAGAAAGTCCCTTCTATTCTTCTTTTACTAGATCTAAAACTGTCCAGTCCAGATAATTAGTACACAGATCTAGTGCTGTTAACCCACTCTTAAGCTTCTATGACTTTAGTGCTGATTTATTGCATTTTCCTTCTTCATTAGATTTGCATATATATTTATCAAGACCTAAATTACATGGAGATTACTAAGAAAAGCAAGTGTGTTAAACAGAGTTTGAAGCTTGGCTTTAAGATATAGTCTTATATAACTGAACAGCTATTGTCCCCCTATAATTTTTAGCCTGTATTCAAGTAGTTTATAAGGACTCATTTTTTAAAAGGTGTTCACTTTTTTAAAAATGTAAATTTTCTAGATGTTTTACCCGCTAGGTGTTTCCTTTTCCTTGTAGTGACTTCTTTTAAAATTGTTATATTTGAAATAGTTCATTGTGTACAAAATCTGCCATCCACTCCCTTTCCAAAGAATCCTTGTTTTTGTGCACTCCCTATCTTGGGCTATGTTGTCCTTGTGTTTGTGTCTACTGTCTACCTAGTTTCTCTTAAATGTAGAGTTTTGTTTTCTTCAAAGCATTTGGCTTTTTTAATATCATGACTTGTGTTCATCAGTGATTTTTTTTTTAATGTTCTTTGTTAATAGAGAGTTTTAAAAGTTTCTTTGGTCCCTTTCTTTACCAGCATCTAAGGAAATGGATTCTGGTTTCTGGAAACTTAATCACAGCAGGGTGCTACATGCTGTTAGGACCTGTCCCAATCTTGCACATTAAAAGGTAATTTTTTCTTCTGTATTTTTGGTCAAATAACATTAAGAATTATTTTTTAAAAATTGGTGTAATATGGGTATGGCTTAGTATTTTAGGCCTTATTATTGAAATAATTACCTTGATTTATGACTGTATTGGATGGTTTGTTAGACTGACAGGATTTTACCTTACTAGAAGATAGCAGTGGTACAAATAGGAATGCATATAATCTGTATCAAATGATAATTATGCTTATTCTTCCTTTGTGTTTCAATTGCATACATGTTTGTTGCCACCTGCCTTTAGTTGACAGTTCTTAGAATGTTTTTGTTTTTGCTACTACTCCTTACTCCTTAAGTCAGGGACCAAATCTTTCCTTTTTCTTCTGTATCATTCTTAGCATGTAGTAGCTGCCTATTAAAGCTTGTTTAATATAATTTGTTTGCTGAATAAAGTCAGCACATTACTTCTGGGATAAAGCATGATGTGGAAAGAGCAAGGATTTTGGACTGAGTCCTTTGGACTGAGATTACATGCTGGCTTTACCTCTTGCTAGCCAGAGGTAAAACTTGGGCAAATCACTTAACTGCCAAGACCTCAGATTTTTAAATCTACAAAAAAAGAGTCCATAATAGTACTGTTGAAATAGCTTTTTTTTGCCCAAGAAGCCGCTCCTGCCTGGGGTGCCATGTCAGCAACCTGAAACTTAGATAACTTTTGTGTCCCTATTAACGCTGTCCTTAACCAGAAAACACAGGCTAGCCCATCAACCAATCCCCAAAAACCAAACCAGTCCTGGCCCTTCTCACCCCAAATGCCGTTGACTATGTAGCACCAGCCAGTCAGGGGTTTTCTCATTTTCTCCCCATGTTCTTTACATTTTATCCTATCAAAGCTTCCTGCCTTCTGCTTCATTTTGCAGTTCTCTGAAAGGAGAGTGTTTGTATTACCTACATTGTCTTCTTTAGTCATTTTCAAACAATACTTAATTAACATCATAGAGATGCTGCAGGATTCAGCCAGGTAATGGATGTTAAGTAACTGGCATAGCACGCAACATGGTACCAATATTAGTTTCCTGTCAATTTACCACCTCCCTTCTCTGACATTTTTCAGTCAATTGAATTTCAAAGCCAAGCAATTGAAGGAACTATTAGCACTGGCATTTTCACCTATTTTGAAAGGATTTTCTATGGCAATGATAAGGCAGGTTGACTCCAGACATGTGATATATGTGACAAAAGACATTGAGATATGAGGATAAGTTGACCCTGTTACCGAACAAATGGACCTGTTGGGGAGAATGCCCAGATGCTATTACCGAAACAACGACACCCCCCTTCCTTGGGATCCCTCAGTTGTAGGTCCTTTGCCCGCTGCCCTTGGAATTATGGCTCTGAATGGCAGAGTTTGGTGAAAAGGAAAAGAACTGTTTATTCAAAAGTTATACAGGTTTCATTAATGGCTAAATATCACCCTTAAACCTCAAAATCCCTTTAAAACAATCACCAGCACACACAGTCCTGCCTTCCCCCCTTTGCCCAGTTAGGCCAGTCAGGGGTACGTATACCATCCTTCAGAAGAGAAAGAGCAGAAGTCCGGGGCGCGGCTAGGCAGGCCTCTCCCGGGTTCCAGCACCATCCACTGGGTCGCAGTGATCTCCAGCTCTTAATCCATAACCATGTGGCACCATCTCATGGCCCACTAGCAAGAGTCCTTTCTCCCCTCTTTCTTCCCGCGTGGTCTTCACACTGTTCCCTAGAGTCTGTGTCCCTTTGTCTCTCCTGCAGGCCCCTGTCTCTCCTCCCCTCTCTTCCAGTTACATTCTGTATTAAGTCTTTTTTAACCTTCCTGATTAGCTTTCCTGAAAGGCAAAATAACCCTTTTTGCAAATGAGGAATGAAGCTATCCTGTTATTGACATGCAAAATGACTCTCAATGGCCGTGCCCAAGGCTCCCATCCCCCATGGCGGCCCGCCCTGGGGTGGGAAGAATATATTTTTCTTTGACACTTCAATCTCTGGACCCCTTTACAAATACCCTTTGGAGGGGGCCCTGGTTGTGCCCCGTTACAACCCCTCCCCCCTCAAATAAAAGGAGCCAAAGGATGTTGTCACTGAATGAAATGGGATGAGAGAGCAATGAAAATAAGAGTCCTGGTATCTGTGGAATTTCTCTGGATCCTGCCCACTCTCCTTATCATGAAGCTTTGTGTCTCTTAAAATGCTAATTTTTTTTTCTCCAAAAACTCTTTACAGTCAGCTGTGGCTCCTGGTGCTGGTATTGGTCATAATTGGCATCTCGGCTGGAATGAGTATAATTCCAGCTTTCCCGGAGATCCTCAATTGTGCCTAGTAAGTTACTTCCATTGCTGGGAGAGCAGTGTATTGAATAACTGTGAGCGTCACAGCTTCTCTTGAATTTTTCAGTTTTGTAAGATTTAGGATTTTTTTTCACCATACTAAATCTTTATGATTTCATGTCACACACTATTGTGAAATAAATAGTATGTGCAATAATATAATAGTATGAATGATAATGTAATACTAATACAGTAATAGCTAAAGTGGGTTGTGGATAGAGGCTCAGCTTGGTTTATGCCTCTGTACAGGTACACTTTTAAAAAAACCAAAGCAAAATGAAAAGGCTCCAGCATTCTTCATCCCTCATGGAAGAGGTCCATGCAAGAGCATAGAGTGGATGGGTAGAATAATTCTAGTGTCAATTTTGATATGTGAGGGGTTTTCCAAACCCATTCTCTCATATCAGCTGGGCGTCCTACAGTTCATCTCATTTCTGACACTGACAACCCAGAGACAGCATCAGATTTTGCAGCCTAAGGAAACGTTCAGTCCCACAGGATTGCCACGCTTCAGATGCTAATCACAAATCCAGGTTATCAACCTGTTCTCCTGACTGACTGGCTATAAATCAGATGTTCCCATGATCTCTCCTTGGGTTTGATTAATTTGCTAGAGCAGGTCACCAAACTCCAGACACCAGTTTAGTTCCTAGATTATGGTTTATTAACAAAGAATAATAAAGGGCATGAATCAACAGCCTGATGAAGAGATATACATGGTAAAGTCCTGAACAAAGGAGATTCTGCCCTCATGGAGTTTGGAGCCTTGCACGGTGGCATGTGTAAGCACTCCAGGAAGTTCTCTGAACTCTGTGCTTTTGGGTTTTTTTAATGGAGATTTATAGAGGTTTTATTACTTAGGCATGGCTGATTAAATCACTGCCCATTGGCAATTGATTCAAGCTCCAGTCCCTCTCCCCTCCCAGAGGTGGATGGTGTGGGTGGTACGGAGGGGCGGGGCGGGGGGGCGGGGGAGAAAGGGTGTAGTGAAAGTTTCAACCCTCTAATCACAGGAATGGCTCTTTTGGCAACCATTCGCCACCCTTAAGTGTCTTCCAACAGTCCACTTATTAATATAACAAAAGACTTTTATACTGTTTTCCATGAGTTAAGAAAGTTTAAGGATTTTAGGAGCTCTGTGCCAGAAATGGACTAAGACCAAACATGTATTTGTTATTGCAAGTCACAATATCATACCAGGAGTTTGCCACATGGCTATCGGTCTTTTGTTTAGGAGGCATGATGATTTAGAACACAAAGTAAACTTGAGGGAGTTTATGTCAAGGTGAACTTCAAGAAGGATATTTGTAACTAGACCTTGTCAATTTAACATGTCTCATAGAAAAAAGGAGCTGCCCCTCTATTTCCTAAAAGTGCCCACTGTTCTCTTTACATGTTCATCTCATTTTACGAATTTCTTAATTATACATTTTTCTGAGCATTTAATGCAAATGTGTTGTGATTCTTAATATCGTATCTTATATACAACAAAATTATTTTTTAGAAAATTCTTAATCACACATCAGTATGAAAATTCCTTCAAATTAGATTAGCTTTTTAATCTTAGAAATGGAGTGTTCTTGCTGTTGGTTTTGTCCAGATTATCCCTGGTTTACTTTATCTATTATAGACAGTTCTTTTCCCATCACACAGGCTCCCCTTTAATCACAGACACCCTCTTGCCTCTCTTTGCAGCGAAAATGGGTTTGAAGAAGGCCTGAGTACACTGGCGCTCGTGTCAGGCTTCTTCGGTGCCATGTGGTCAGTTGGGTGAGTAGCTGCGGCATTCCATGTACACATGCAAGATGGCGGATGCTATCCCTTAATTACTGATGAGGAAGTTGAGACACCAGATGCGTTGCCCAAAGGCACCAAATTCATTTAGGGCAGAACCAGAGTTTTAAACCTACACCTTCCGACTCTAAGATCATTGGTTATGCCAGCAGTTTTAATACCTTATCAAAATGGTCCCATACACTTTCCCTTATAAAAGTGATGTTTTTAACTCATTTATCAGGGGTGTATCTCAGTATTTTAAATGTATTACTTTATTTATCTTCTACTCTCTACTATACCAGAGGGGCAACTGTATGCTGGTAATGTAGATGTCCTCCATAAATATGTACAGAATTAAGATATTTTTAATACAAATACTGAGAAATGTAGAGAGAATAACGTGATATAAAAATTCTTTTGAATGCCTGTCATCTTTTTTTTTTTTAGTATAAGACACCAGATTTTCATAAGCAGTTATAATTTTACATTTGCTTAACAGATTTAAGCATCGTCATTATCAGGTAGAATTATTTTCTTATATCCAATGCTATGTCCAGGAATTGCCTTTGTTCTTTAGTATTTATAGTTTCAATTTAATGAAGACCTATGACTGAAGGATAATGCAGCCTTTAGGAAGGAACTCTTTTTCTCTCTCTTTTTGCACTACTTAATACTCTTTCTGCTTTTCATTGTTAGTGCCTTTGTAGGACCAACACTAGGTGGATTCCTCTATGAGAAAATTGGTTTCGAATGGGCTGCAGCTGTGCAAGGTCTGTGGGCTCTGACAAGTGTGAGTAATCAGTCTTTTATTTTCCTTTTTCTTACATTTGTGGAGAAATGCTACTTGGAGAATTGGCATTAACCAGCACCTTTAATTATGTTAAAGGGATTAGTGATGGGCTGGTTTTATCTGTTGGAGTACTCAAGAAGAAGAAGAAGGTATAGTCAACTCGAGTTTTTTTTTCCTCCCTTTAAAAGTCATCTGGGGGGAATGAAGAAGAAGAAATAGTATTTTACCTCCATTCTTCTAGTCAGCAGATTTCTGGGCACTCTGAGCCTCAGGACTTGATAGATTCGAGGAGGTAGTTGGGTAAAGATGTAGGTACTGAGTTTTTTAAAGATGAGAAAGACTGAGGTTCTTCTTTTCTTGCCTTCAATATAGATCAAAACTTCAAAATATCCTTGGTACAGAGGAAGAAAGAAGCACTCTTTTGCCTGATGAAAACCAGCCTTGAGAATCTCAGATGGACACAAGGTTGGCAAATGGATGCTTCTGGCCTTGAACGTTAAAGTTGGAAAGTCTGAAAAGTTTTCTTAATTTTACGCACAGAACTCTTTGAATACCACACTAGCATGCTGGAAGTGAACACGTGTTTTTGGAAGATGACCCATGATGGGCTACAAGTTACTGTTGTCCTTCAAAGCTGGCCTGCAGAACCAGCCCCATTTCAAGCATTATGTATGAAAAGACTAGTTGAAAATCAACAAAACTTTGAGTTTTTAAGGGACCAAATTTAGGCTCAAAGATGTTTTTTGACCCTAGGTCTCCTGTTTTCCTCTGTTTACTTTTTATTCTAAATGCACTGATTCTGTGAATGTACCTTTTTGTATTACAAGGAAACAAATGAATGATGTGCTTAAGGGAAAGAGTTGACATGCTTAAAGATAGTATAAATAGCTCAACATATGTAAAATAATTACTATGAAGTCAGTTTTTAAAAGATAGGCTTTATCTGTGTCCTGAGATTTTTGTCCTTGTTCAAAGGCAAAGTTCCTGCCTACCATGCAAAAGACACTAACATTCCCTGGCCCTTAGCTCTTGTAAAAATTTTGTGTAAGGTAGAAAAATGGCATTACTTGAGAATTCCATTTTTGCAACATGCTTTCAGTTATGATTTGGATTTATAAACAATGCTTGGTATAACATTCATTTCTCATAGTCTGTGTTTCAGTTCTACCATCCTTTTTATGTATATAAATAAATATATATATAAATATATATATATACACACACCATATTTCTAGTAGATGAATCCATTCCTAGAGCAGGTGATTCCACAGGAATGCTTGTGTACTAGGGAAGGGGGTTCCTCCAACTTTATGTAAAATCCATGCTATCATTTGAAGAGAATCTCTATTATGCAATTCTCATACTTCCTGATTCATTTCCATGGCCACATCAGCCACATTTACCTTTTCTAAATAGAAGAAATGGTTTTATCTCTTAACTTATTCAAAAATATTAAATGCCTTTTCTGAACTGACCCTGTAATAGGTGCTAGAGATTTCACTGTGATCAAGATACACAATCTCTGCCTTTATCTAACTTAGATCTCAGGGGAAGGGACAAACAACAGATAAATACCAGAATCTCTCATTGGCTTACAGAGATGCGAGGAAGGAAAACACCATGGTGACGTGAGAGTGGAACTGGGTGGGGTTGATTTGCTGTGGGGTCCTAATTCACACAAGGCTTCTCCAGAGAGGTGGGGCTTTTGAACTGAGATCTGAAGGGGGAGAGTGAGGCAGCCATTCCGAGGGGGAAGCGGACCACAACATGTGCAAAGGGGCTTGACGTGGCCTGCACATCAGGAGTCTAGTAAGGAGAGGAGGTTGGGGAAGTGTGGAGGGGTCAATTTTTGGGTGGGGATGCCAGAACTTGATTCGTATTTCTGGGAGGTCGTTGTGCAGGCGTGTGGATGTGAGTGGGGATGTGAGTTCGCAGGGTTGGAGAGGGATCTGTGGAAGCTTCGAGAGAGACGTTAATAGTTTGCATCAGGGCTGTGGTGGTGGAGATGGAGAGAAGAGGATGTGTTTGGAAGTGGCACCAGCAGGATCTGCTGATGCGGAGGGAGAAGGGGAGAGGAATTTAGGAGAACTCCCAGGTTTCTGTGTGAGGGTATGGGTGTGTGGCCGTACCTCGTAAAGAGATGGGGAAGAATAGGAGCAAAACAGATCCTAAAGGGGCAAATTAAGCCATGATGTGGTGCCCTGCCACACTGCCAAAGTGGGGGGGGGGGGGGGGGAATATGTGAAGGATGACAAAGCCAAGACTGGGGATGATGGAGAGCAACTTGAAGTAGACAGTTTTGGAACACTTTTTGGTATTAATTGCCAAAATCGAATATTCACAAATTCCATGAACTCTTCATTATGCCCCTTCCCCCAAGTCACTTCCCCTTGAGACCTCCAGGGAGCTGTCCGGTGCTGGGGGAGCACAGGGTGGGAGGAAAGGGGCTGTCACGGGTTCCCTTTTCCCAGAGCGACACCAGGAAGGAGTGTGAGTTCGGCCCGTTGCATTCCAATGGGGTAGAGAAACAGGTCCAGGCCTGTTTCAATGCTTCAATGCTTAAATCACCCTGGTCTTGCTCCAGTGCTCTTGTTCCCTGGGCGCGGGCCCTTCAGGGGCCGCCCCCGCCGCCTTGGTCTCCGCCCAGTGGCCAAGGACTGGCTGAGCGCCTGCAGCTCCCGACCTGCGGCGCCGGCAGCTCTTCTGCGCCTGGGCATCCGCCGGCAGCTTCCGGCCGGGCTCTGGCTGCTGGGCTCCCACCTCTCCCGGCCGGCCTCCGGGTGTCACTCAGGACCAACCGCCTATTGCCTTTACCAGCCCTGTTGACAGTTGAGAGTTCAAAGTCAACGCAAAGATTCCAGGCTTTCTGGTGAGAGAACTTTTTCTTTCCATTTGCAACAAGCTGCTGTCAATACAAGCCGCCATGGGTCCCAGTGTATTTACAGTCACTTTATGAAACTAACCTTGTCCCTTCTTCATTTTATGATTTTGCTAGTAGTCTTAAAACAAATGACAAAAAAAGCTAAAAATGTGAGAAAAAGGATAGAGGAAATTTGAGCAAAAGACAGGATAAACTATCAAAGGAAATCAGTGTGTGCATTTATATTTTTATATCTTTATATTCTTGTAAATGTAACAAAGGTGCCCAGGTTTAAAAAAACCCTCTTATAAAGGAGACTAATTTATGTAGCTGAATGTAGAATATAATAATAATAAACAAAATGTATCTTTTTGTTAAGATCATATTGCAAATTATGTATATGATATACAAATTAATCAAAGGAAAATTAAAAGGACAAATATATCACAAATTGTTTTTTAATTAACCTTTCTCCATTTGGAGATAATTGTTGATTCACATGCAGGTGTAAGAATTAATACACAGAGGTCATGTATACTCTTTACCCAGTTTTCCCCAGTGGAAACATCTGCAACACTACAGTACGATATCACAGCAGAGCTTATCGTTGGAGTCGAGACCCAGAACACGTCGCATCCTTCACATTGCCCGTTTGTAGCTACATCCGGTACCCTCTCCCACTCTCTCCTGACTCTGAAAACCACTAATCTGCTCTCCATTCCTATAATTCTGTCATTTCAAGAATGTTGTACAAATGGAATCACATGGTATGTTGTTAACTTTCAGGATTGGCCTTCCTTCTGTGTAATGCTCTTAAAATCCATCGACGTTGTAGCATGTATCATAGTTCATTTCCTTATACTGAGTAATAGTCCATAGTACATGTCTACAGCTTGCTTCATCATTCGTTGAAGAACATCCGGAGTATTCCACTTTATCGTTATTACAAATAAAGCTGCTATGAACATTAATGTTCAGATTTTTTGTGTGAACATGTCTTCACAATTCTTTAGAATAAATGCCTGGAAATGATTCTACTGCTGGATAGTAGAGTAGTTGTGTGATTAATCCCCCCCCCCCAAATAACCCATTTATTTTACATAGGAAATTTGATTTGGACAATAAGTATTAAAATATCATACATTAATAAAATATTCTATTTACTTATTTATTAAGCTGTGAAGATTTAGATATGTTAAATATACTGTCTCAGACATTGCTGGCAGGAGAGATGGATAATAAATACTGACATAATTTTCAAACTAATTTTCATTAAATACAATTAGTAAATGAAAGTAAAGAACACATATCTCAATTTATATACAATCATATCAAAAAAAGAATGATCTGAAGGCTAGTCCTATGATAGTTGTCATACCTTTGGGATTAATATCCTATGTCCTCTATTTATGAAATAAACCCACAGGAGAGTAAGACTCAGAAAGAGCATATTCAGACAGGAAAAAAGAAAAAAACACTAAACACAGGAAACAAACTAAAACCTGCTTATTCAGTCTTTATTAGGAATAAATTGAAAATTTTAATATTCATACTAGTTCCTTTTAGAAAATCCACAGCCTGGTCTAATCCCAGTCTGTTTGTAGTTGACAGTTATAGGTGGCAGTCTAGGAAAGTGTGGGGTTCAGTATAACTTCTGATTTACAGTTTAGTGCAATTTTGTCATTAGTACTAGAATAAATCAAAGTCTGTGTGTTGTTGACAAAAAGCATGACAAATACAAAAAGTATTTATTTCAAAGTACATTATTTCAAAAAGTACATTATTTCAAGGTTTGTCGTTTAAGACAAATTTGAGTAATAAATTAGTTGTTACATTATTATATATTTTGGAAATGACCACCATGAAATCAGTTGTTGGATGAATTCTGATAGAGTTTTTTCCTTTTAAAAGAAAACCACTGTAAATAAATATTTTATTTGAACATACTGTTATATTTTTTCTTCATACACTTTCAGAACTTTGGATTATATTCATTTCCTATATTGTTTTCTGTTTTATCACTGTTACTGGGTGCTTTTCCCTCTTATTCACTTAGCTGTTGAAGAGCAGAGTCACTTGGTTATTGCTGAGTCTATTCCTAAGAGCTAAGTTCTGTTTCTAGATGTGCATCATGAATAATGGGAAGACAGAGCTGTGCATTTGGAAATGGCGCTATCATCTTATAGTAGTAAAGCAGCAGCATTGGATTATATGCATGCCCTTGCATTTTATTAAAAAAAAAATCTTAAAGTGAAGAAGCAGTATTAATTGGAAAAAAATGTATAGGAAAGGAAGAACTTCCCAAAACTTCATTCCTGTAGCTGGGGAATTTGTCTTAACACAGCTCCCAAAACTTTCGTTAGTTGATTCAGAAGAACAAGCACTTCCACGTAGATACTGCACATTGATTGGTCTTCCATAGAAACGTATGACATTTAACAGAGCTATGGCAAATGACTCAGATTCTGGGTGTTCAAAGCAGACAAATGCAAGACTTCTGCTTTTCTTCTTTGTCTTTGTATATAGTAATTTTGGTTAATGGTGCAGTCTATCAGACACTGAAGTAAAAGATCATAAAGAAATTCTTCTTGCGCTAGGGCTTCTAAATCCTCCACTAACATTGTCCTGTCCTCTTCCAGAACTGGGAACAAGATATAGGAGGGGCTGGGATTCTGCCTCATCTCTCGGTTTCCTGCTCGACCCAGTACAAGGAAGAGTCATGATTAGCTTTGTTTGTTTGTTTGTTTCTTCCAGGAATTGTCAAGCTCATTTCCCAGAGTGGTTGGCTGTACCGTTTCACATTCCTGACAGCAACAAATGAGTAATCCAGTTTCTTGGTGAGCTCTGTGTGTGTGTGTGTGTGTGTGTGTGCGCGCGTGTGTTGTATATGTGTGTTTTTAAAAAATAGTATGATGTATGAGTTAAGGAATTAGAACTGTTGATTAAAGGAAGAATCTATGGTACAGTCAGAGAGAAAACATTCAAAATTAGCTGGTAGAAATGGACTTTATGTTAATAATTTAATAACCATTCAGGGAAGATTGGCATAGAAGAGAAAAAACATGAAAGTCTTTGTGGAGACAGAACAATGGAAAAATAGAGAATATGGACTGGTTGCTGTTTTTTTGTTTTGTTTTTTTTTAATAAATTAGTAGCCAAGAACAAGTGGGCACTGGAGCAGAGAGAGTGAAAGACCTGAGTCAAAGCAGCACTGGACAGTGCCCTCAGATAAGGTCATTGTCTTGTGGCAAGAAGCAGTAGTGACGGCAAAAATTATTCAGCACATATTATCACCTTTATGCAGATGACGGAAAGTGTGGTAGTGAGAGGACACATCACTTATTCATAGTCACCCAGCTAGGCAGTGATTCAAGCCCAGGCATTCTGGCCTCAGGGTCCATGCCTTTACGCATTGCTCAGTGCCATCATGAGTCTCATAACTAAAGTGGGAAAAATTCATGCCATGTAAGTTACCTGTAATTAGATGCAGAGCCATCCGGAATTTAGTTATGTTCACTTGGGGGAAAGTTCTAGAGTGGATGTGTATTATAGTAATAAAAGAATAACGTGCTAAAGAGAAAGAATGTGATGTGAATGTAAGAGTCAACTTAGGTCTTGCGGGCTACAAAATGGCTAGCTTCTATTGCTCTGTTACTTCTCCTGGTTATTTGGACATTGTTCAGTAGCAATCACATAATTCCACGTGGCCTGTGTTACCTGGTTTCTATGGCTGCTTGAAGGAAAACCCCGGAAATCAGAGTTATCTGGCTAAGATAAAACAAATACTCCCTCTCCTAGTTCTAAGAAAGCAGAACCTTCTGGCCAGCTGCTGCTCACCCAGAGAGTAAACCTAAATAAGAAGTCAAGGGTGATTTGAGAGGCCACAGGCCTTGGAAAGAAGAAAACAGTATCCAGGGGAGTGGAAGGCTTCACCTACACGGACCTGTAAGTAGTTAGGTATCTTAGGCCTCAAACATACTTTTTTACATCCTTGCTCATTAAAAATGAGGAAGATGAATAATTGGTGAATAATTGTGAAGCTCTTGTGAATGAAAATGGGGCTACATGGCAGATCTGACAAGCTCAGGGCTACCTGGCAGGCCTGACAACTCAGTAACTGAAAGTAATTACGTGGGACGTTCTGATAATAAAAATTCCTAACTGAGCAGGTTGTAATGAGAAGTCATGTCCTAAGGCCTATATGATAGATTAACCTTTATGCTGAACTAGCCCTGTCCATTGATTTTGTGCAACTAGGATAATATACTTAGAATGGCAGAATGATCCGATCTCTTCTTCAGACCTCCAAGGATAAACACCTGGTACTGGGGCCAGACTACCCCGACATGCCTTGTTGTCCTTTACCTGCATACCTCTGTGCATTATGGATGTTAAATGTTAAATATCCTGCACCTGCCAATGTAAAAGAAGTATTTATCTCTTCATTTTTACTTTTTATTCAATGCTAGAATTGTACCTGTTCAGCCTTCTACAGCCTCCTTAATTTATCACCAATAGATTTCATGTAACCTTCCCTCCATCCAGTCCTTTGATTTTAATATGTAAAATAAACTACAAAACTGCTACTCCTTGGAGCATTTTCTCAATTTTGAGATTTTGATTGTGGGTCTGGCCCTCAATCTTGACTCAGATAAACTCTTTGAACCTTTCTTTAGGTTTGAACTTTCTTTTGTCAACACCTTTATATTATGTGATAAAACACTACGTGCACCATGCCTTGACACTTTTGTGTCTTTAATCTATCATTTTATTTTCCCCCTCTGTAGTACCTGAGATATCAGCTTTGGTTTTTTTGTTGTTGTTGTTGTTTTGTTTTACCTTACCTTTCAAATGTTTGTTTCTGTAACTGCCAACATAAAGGAACAAGTGACTTCTATCTAGCTCCTTTGGATTTATTTCTGTTCTCCTAAAAGTAAGGGGGTCATCCTTACTTTACCAAAATGTTTGAATCCACTTGGGATGCTATAATGGGTACTATAGACTGGGTGTCTTATAAGCAACAGAAATGTATTTTTCACATTTCTTGAGACTGGGAAGTCCAAGATCAAGGTGTCAGCAGATTCAGCGTCTGGTGAGAAACCTCTTCCTAGTTCAGAGACAGCATCTTCTCATTGTGTTTTTGCAAAGCAGAAGGGGCAAGGAAGCTCTCTGGGGACTCTTTTTATGAAATCAGGAATCTCATATTTGAGGGCTGCATACTCATGACATAAATACCTTGCAAGGGCCCCACCTTCTAATACCACCACACTAAGGATTGGGTTTCAACATATGAGTTTGGAGGGTTGGGGGCGAGGGGTCACACAAGCATTTAGTCTATAGTACCAACCAAGGGAATTTTAAAAAGTTCCTTTTGATGAATGTGATGAACTTTTGACAGAGTTGGATCAGAACTAAAGTTAATGATATACAAGGTGAATCATCATGAGACCAGGTTACTGTTTTACTTTTGAAAAAGTGGGGGCCCATAATATGGGAACACACTGCCAGTTCAAAGGGCCTTTTGTAACTTAGCATCCCACAGTCCTCAACTTCTGAGAGCAGAAAGCAGAGTGCAGTTTGAACCACAGGAAACTTGATGCTGTAGGTCAAAAAGAGTTGGCTACTGGCAACTTGCTGTGATACAACCCTTTCCAGCCGATAGGGCATGACATGTCATTACTCTCAGATTTTCTCTAGGTTTTAGATGCATTCGCTGTCTGGAGAGTTGAACACCCATTCACGTCCAGAGCCTCACCTGAGTGGGACCTGGCACCAAAAGATGGTTAAAGTTCAGGCTTGTTCTGCTCAAGCTGGTAGTTCCTCCAAAAAGGCAGATTCAAACAATGTGCTGGAGACACATGTAAGCCTCCAATGAGGGCAGGACAGAAACATTTTTTACCACTGTGTACTTTTTGGGATATGGTACTATTTTTTTTCTTTTCTTTTCTTTTTTTTGGTATACAATTATCAAAAGAATAGTTTGAAAAGAGAACCTATTTTTCCTGCTTCATATTTTGATGCGTCATGCTTGCTACCTATGAGGACATGCTGTCAATGAATGTGCATTCTATTTCCAGGTCTCCACCTCTCAGCTCACTTGATGCAATTTCATTTCTGGGAGAGAGGCCAGGCTAGGACGTCCTTCAGGCTGTGGCAGAGCCCAAGGCTCCTCCTCACCATCCTGAGTTCCTCGGTGTCTTTGTCATGTCTCCATTGCGTGGTTGACGTGAATCTGCTGTGTCCTTCTCGGCAAGATCCAGGAGTTGGTGCCCAGGTACTCTGTCCCCCATTTCATCTCCAGTACCCCAAATAGACTAGACTTGTTAAATTGAATAAGTGTTGTTCTGAGAGCCTAATGATGAAATCATACTGAGTGGTCAGGATTAATACATTATTATATTGTCACCCATTTGTGTTAATGATTGTCATCCCATCCTCATCTGACAGAGAATGTTCATGTGTCTTTGACCCTCAGGAGAACCTTGTGAAGGATATAAAGCAGGTATGTTGTAATAACTTTTCATATGAGAGTTACTTTAGTTATGTTTTCTTTCTATTAATTAAAGGGTGCAATTGTACTACATTTGAATTTTGGTTTTCTGAAATTTTACCTCAAATTTTATCAATAGTACATGTCGTACAACCTTTGTACAACTTTTTTATTGTATTCATTTAATAGCAATATTTCCCCCTCAAAAGTCATTGGCTATAATATTCATAAGAGTATAAAATGAGAGCTCAATTGCTGGCAGTCATATGTTACAGAAATAAACCACCTTTTTTAAATGCTCCATGAATATTACTTGCATTTTCAGAAATCTCTAGACCTTGGCCATGACCACTTCCTCCTTTCAAACCTCCGTGGCAGTATTTACCCTGATTGCCCTGCATGTCAATGCCCTGGATACATTTATAGCTGCAGTGTATGAGCACACGGTCATATTGCCAGAGAAAACGGAAACACCTGTTTCTCAGGACAATGCCTTGCTCCTTATGAACAAGAATATAGATATTCTGGAGAAAGCAATTAAGCAGGCAGCTGAGCAGGTATTCTTTTATTACTACTAATCCTAATTTATGGTAGGGACATGAGATCTGGTGGAAGATTAAAGTGTTACATTGTCTATGTTACACATGGAGAGATAATTTTGATTTGACTTATTTTGAACAGGGTGCTCAAATTATTGTGACTCCAGAAGACGCAATTTATGGATGGAATTTTACCAGGGAAACCATTTTCCCTTACCTGGAGGATATCCCAGACCCTCAGGTGGACTGGATTCCATGTCAAGACCCCCACAGGTATTTTATCTATCCAAGTTGTTTGTGCAAAAGTGCTCTAATTCTCTAAAATGTGCATGTTCACCACAGCAAAATGATAAATCTTGAATTACCATGTATATGGTATATGATATTGTTATATTTACCTTGGCATTTGTTAGATTTAAATAATTACACTTAGATGTCATTGAACAATCATTTATGATTAATATCTTCATTAAATTTGGAGAAAATATGTAAATAGGACTAGAGACTAAAGGAAAGAGGATCTCATAGATACAAGTAGTAAATTAATTTCTAAAGTGGACAGTGAGTTGTGTTTGGAAAACATGTCAGTGCCTCTCTTTGAGGATACCACATTGCAATTTATTATAGAGTCTCTGTTCTGGAACCTGCTTCTTGGGCAGAAAGACTTCACCACATACTTTCTAGTGAATCATATAACCTTATGCTTTGAAACTTTGCATTTTTCTCAGGCTCATATAGGTAATTTTCCTGGAGAAAAGTAATTTAGAAATGTTCTAGTATAAGGTCCTTAATAGATAAAGGTGTATATTTAATATATAAATCTTACTCCCTAACAAGAGATCATTGAGGTACAGATCTGCACACTTCAAAACTTGCAGTAAAACATCTCTCACTGTAACACTCATTCTTATTCACCTCTCAAAGCCTCTCACTCTGTTACCCTCTCACTCTCTCATTCTTTTACCTCAAATTAAGTGTATTAAACATTCCTCTGCCATATTTTTCCTGGAAAATTATGGCTACCACCCTTTTTTAGGCACTCCTGGTTATTCTGACATTTATATAGGGCTATCGGGAAATGACATTTCTTGCTCTACAGAGATTAGCTACACAAAGATGAGAATATTCGGTTACATGACACTTGAAAGTTCCATCTTCCCATCCTTCCTTTGTTCTGAGCTGATCTCTCGATGGTGACTGTAAGAAATTTTCTTTTGTGCAGACGAAAGGCCAATAGCTGGACAGTTTTTCTGCATAGAAGTTTTAAGAACTGGGACAACCTGTTTGTTTTTAATCCCACAGTGGGACTGAGTTCTGAATTTCCTGTTAAAAACAAAACATGTTGCAAATTTATGGATAAGTCAAAGATCACAGTAACTATGGGAACTAGTAAATGTTGGGAGACAGGTTCTTCCATGTGGTTAGCAAATGCCTCTTTTTGAGCCCAAGAGTAGAAGGAATGCATTTTGACAGAAAATGGGCTTGCAGTATCACCCAATATAGTCAAATTTAATTCACTCATCTTTTAACTCAGTCAATCATTTTTTATTGAGCACCTACTATGTGCCAGATACCATTATGGGAGTAGGACAGACAATACTTAATAAAGCAAAGTCTATGCCCTACCTTTAGGTGATGGATGCTTAGTCGGGGAAGATAGATGTAAACAAACTCATTTATTATATAAGATGTATTGTAATAAAAGTAGGGGAAATGTGGTGCTTGGGTGGGATGAGGTGTAGGACCTATTGTGGTTATTTTATTTTATTTTTGATTTGATCTTTATTGCATTTTTTTCCCCATTACCTATTGTGGTTATTTTAAAATTTGGATTGACTCTGGAGCTTTCAGTGAATATGGCTTGAGTGTACTAGCAAGGGAGAAACATTATGAGGTGAGGTCAGAAAGGGACTATACTGTGGCAGTGCTATAGGTACAGGGGTGTCTAACCTGCTGCCTGCGGGCTGCATGCGGCCCAGCATGGCTATGAATGTGGCCCAACACAAAATCATCAATTTGCTTAAAACCTTTTTTGCTAATCAGTTTTCGTTAATGTTTGTGTATTCAATGTGTGGCACAAGACAACTCTTCTTCCAGTGTGGCCCAGAGATGCCGAAAGGCTGGGCACCCCTGAAAGAATCTTGGAGTCTATTATAAGAGCTTTGGTTTTTCCTCTGAGTGTGATGGGGAGGCACTGGAGGGTTTTGATTCCAGGAGTGACCTAATTTGACTCATGCTATAACAGCACCACTCTGGTTTCTATATTGAGAAGAGACCAGGGGGGTCATGACAAAGCAGAAGACCACCTAGGAAGCTACCGTAATCATCCTGCTTAGAGCTGATAGGGGCTTAAACCAGGGTGGAAGTGGTGGAGCTGGTAAGAAGTGGTCAGATTATAGATATGTTTTAGAGGTCAAGCTGACAAGATTTGTTGCCAAATGTGGAAGTGTGAGAGAAAGACAAGCTCCAAGAGTGACTCCCCAAGTTTTTGGCTGTGCAACTAGAGACATAGAATTGCCATTTGCAGATATAGGGAGCATTGAAGAAAGAGTATTCCTGGGATGGAAATTAGGAAGTCAATTTTGTGCATCTTAAGTCTGCGACATCCTTTAGACATCCAAGTGGAGATGTCAACCTGGCATGAAAGGACAAGGTCAAGGCTGGAGACAGAAAATCAGAAGTCAGCAAATAGAAGGTTTTAACACCATGGTGGCTTCACCTGTGGAGTGAGTCAGAGAAGAGAAGGGGTCTATACTTGAGATCGAGGAAATTCCAATGTTTAGACTCAGGAGAGATAAGGAGGGGCCAGCAAAGGAGAATGAGATGAGGAGCCAGTTGAGTAGGAAAGAGTGAGGTCCAATAAGCAAGGTGGCGTTTCCAGGAGGAGTGTGTGATTCACGGCGTCAATGGCTGCAGACAAATAGGATGAGATTATGTAAGATGTGGGTCATCATTGGCAGCAATAACAATTGTCTATTGGGATCATAAAAATGAAAGCCAATTTGAGTGTTTCAAAAGAGAATGGGGAGAGAAAAAGCTGGAAACAGAAAGAGGGACAGTTTTTTCTAGGAGTTTGGATATAAGAGGGAGCTGAGAAATGGAGTAAAATTTAGAGAGGCGTGTTGATTCAAGAGAAGTTTTTATTTCATTTCTTTTAGAAAATGTAAGGTACTAGAGCATATTTGCATGCTGATGGAATGATCCTAGAGAGGAGACAGCCAATGATGCAGGAGAGTGACTAGTGAGTTGTCAGAATGGTAAACACAATGTGGAAAAAATTCATCAAGTATAAGTATAATTTGTGGCTTTTAAAATACGATCTTTTATACACAGTTTTTATACTAACTTCAATTACACTTAAGCTTTTTCTTACTGTCATTTTTTAATTGAGTTTTTAAATTATAGCTGACATTCAATATTATATTAGTTTCAGGTATACAGTATAGTGGTTAGACATTTATATAATTATGAAGTGATACCTCTGATAAGTCTAGTACCCACCTAGCACCATACCATAGTTATTACAATATTATTGACTATATTCCCTATGCTGTACTTTACATACTTGTGACTGTTTTGTAATTACCAATTTGTACTTTGTAATTCCTTCACCTTTTCCACCCAACCACTAACCCCGGCTTCCTACTGGGCAACCATCAGTTTGTTCTCTATATCTCTGAGTTTGTTTTTGTTGTTTACATATAAAGTGACTAAAATACTTTTTAAAGTTGAAATGCCTTTTTAATTGAGACATAATTGACATATAATATTGTGTAAATTTAAGGTGTTAATTTGATACATTCATATATTGCAATATGATTACCACCATAGCTCTAATTAACCCATTATGCCATATAACTATCCTTTCTATTTTATGGTGAGAACAATTAAGATTTAGTCTCTAAGCAACTTTGAGGTTTATAACATAGTATTGTCAGCTATAATCACTATGCTGTGCTTTAGATCTTCAGGACTTATTATCTACTAGTTGCAAGTTTATATCCTTAAATAACATGATCCCAATCCCCCCGCGCCCCAGCCCCTCGTAACCACTATTCTACTCTGTTTTTTCTTTTTTTTTTAGTTCAGCCTTTTCAGTTTTACATATCAGTGGCATTATACAGTATTTGTCTTTCTCTGTCTGACTTGTAGAAATGTCTTAATTAAAATTTGATTTAGATTTGGTCACACGCCAGTACAAGAAAGACTCAGCTGCCTGGCCAAGAACAACTCTATCTATGTTTTGGCAAATATTGGAGACAAAAAGCCATGTAATTCTAATGACTTCACATGTCCTCCTAATGGCTATTATCAATACAATACTAATGTGGTATATGATAAAAATGGACACCTGGTGGCACGTTACCACAAGGTAAGAGGGGGTGGGTGTGTAAAATGCACCTGTTATAAGTGCGATGAATGCTGTGTGTAGGGTTTTGAGCTCCATTCCCTATTAATGATGTTATTAGAGATATTTTTAAGGCACACACTAAAGAAAATCACATTTTAGAAAAACACTAATTTGGGAGGAAAAAAAAGTAGGCAAGGGCCTATTAGAAAGATGTTGCAATAGTCTATAATTGAGATCAACCTTTTGTACTTAGAAAAGTAATTTTAATATTAATTCAAAGGACACCAAGGTGACTGTAATCTAGATACCATTTAATACTGAGAAGATACAAGGATGTTTCCAAATTGTATGAATGAGTTTCACAGAAGTTCATTTCCCTGTCGTCTATCAAATTACAAAAGCGATCTTTTTCTTTACTTTCTATACCAGTTCACTTAATTACCTTCTTAGGGTTTTAAAGTCAGATCAGATAACTTTTAATTTAAACCCTAAATTAAAAGAACAAAATAACCTTAAACCATGATTTTATACTAAACTGGGTAGGGAGAAAGATCCTTTTCAATGGGTATGTAATATGCATGTCAGCGTGTGTGCTCCTCTCTTGCCCCAGATTGTCTTTAAGCCTTTTAAATTGTAGCCTCAGAACCTTCTGAGTAGGGAACTAATCTGCCAGAAGTCCCAGTTAAAATATAAGTATTAGTCAAGAGGAATGATATTAACCCAATTGTTTCCCAATGTTTTTGATCATATACTGCTATAGAAAAAATTTTAAGGTGTCCTCAATATGTGTATATGTAATTTTTGTATTTATAAATAAAACCCATAACTTTCCAATAGTTTTCTCCATGACTTTGTGGGTTTTGACACCTTCTTTTCATTTGTAATTACACTTTCACGTTCTCCTAAAAAATGTGTCTCGACAAATACCAGCTCTTCCATTTTTTGCTACCTAGACTTTGCATTATTAGTATTTTGAATACACTTTGTTTGCAAGAGTCATTGTAAGTGATTCTACCACTCTTTAAGTGTTTATTTAGTTAAACTGGTAGCATAGTTGATTGATCTATTTAACCAGGCCCAAGTAACCCGCAGGACAGTGCAGTGCACCGAATGTGGACAAGCTCGGGAGGAACCTCTGGTTGTTCTAAACCGAAGGGCTCTCACTGTCCCCTCAGAGTACCTTCGAGGCCACTTGTGATCCATGAACCTTTGCCAATCAAGTTTTAAAATACTAGTTAAGTTCAATTACTTCTTTATTTTTTTTTTTTGACGGAAAGTAATTGTAGAAAGAAATGTTAATAGTCTTGTTCCAACCCTCATCATTCTCCTCTTTGCAGACCACTTCATTGAACTGCTGACTCTCATTGTTGTATTATACTAGGTTAGTTTTTCAGTTTACTTGGAAGGAATCAGGGAGAATGAAGTAAAACGTTCACTTTCAACCACAATTTAAAGCCTGGGTAAGAGTCTCTGAGATGACTTTGGACGGAACCCTGTAAAGAGGACAGTAGCATCCCTCATATACTTAACAGATAGTTATGGTGCATTATGTTTCTAGGTGTCAAGGTTTCAAAGCAGAATAGCAGCATTGCTCTTCTTTGAATCCCTGATGCCTAAAAACATTAAAAAGCTTTTGCAGCTTTCATAGTCTGGGATTTAAGGGAAGTTATGCTATGTTTTCCTTGGACTTTCACTTCCAATTACCAGATTAATTCATTTCCTGCAGAGTTGCTGTTGTTGACCATTGCCAAATCTATTACTAGTTTTGGAGAGGTTGTACAAGTCATCTCTTCAATAAAGAAGGTTTTCCTGTTTTTATCTTGTGCATTTGCTATAGTACCACCTCTATTCTGAACCTCAGTTTGATGTGCCTGAAAAGCCGGAGCTGGTGACTTTCAACACCACCTTTGGAAGGTTGGGCATTTTCACCTGCTTCGATATACTCTTCCACGATCCTGCTGTGACCCTGGTGAAGGATCTCCACGTGGACACCATACTGTTTCCCACAGCTTGGATGAATGTCTTGCCCCTTTTAACAGCTATTGAATTCCATTCAGCTTGGGCAATGGGAATGAGAGTCAATCTTCTTGTGGCCAATACACATCATGTCCGCCTAAATATGACAGGTAATTTATGACCAGATGAGGTTTGCAGATAATACTTCTAAATGCAGATAAACTAGTGCCTCAGATGTGAGCTGTCATAATTTTTTGCTTCTCTATTGGGGCTAACCACTACATTTGCCCACTTTTCACATTAAAGGAAAACCTAGTGACTGATTTTTAACAGCTATGCTTGTGTTAGACCTTTATGTGTGTTATTTCATTTATCCTCACAACAGCTCTGTGAGAGGAGTATCGCCATCCCACTCTTACAGATTAGATCACTGAGACACAGAGAACACAAGGACCTTGCCAAGGGCTCTCAGCTTGTGACTGGCAAAGCACAGAACTAAACAAGATTTGCTCAATCATTGGCAAAGGGCAGAGGCATGTATTACTGACATGTCTGTAACAAATTACCTTCAACGTAAAACGTGGCTTAAAACAAAAAACATTTATTATCTCACTTTTTCTATTAGTCACAATTTGGGACTAGGTTAGCTGGGTGATCCTGGCTCAGACTGTCTCTTCAGGTTACATCAGCTGTTAGCTGAGTTAGCGGTCACATGGAGTCTTGGCTGGGGCTGGGAGGTCTGCTTCCAGGAGAGCTGCCTTACATGGCTATATTGGCAGGAGCTCTTAGTTTCTCAGGGACTATTGGCAGGAGACCTTCATTTCTTGCTACTCGGGCTTCTCCATAAAGCTGTGTGATGTATCCTCATGATGTGGCAGCTTACTTCCTCCAAATTGAAAGAGAGAGAGAGAGCGAGAGAGCACGCACTGCATTGCTGATTATGACTAGTTTCACACTGTCGCTGCTACAGTCTTCCATTCATTGGAAGTGAGTTGCAAAGTCCAGCCTGCACTCAAAAGGAAAGGAATTAGATTGACCTGTTGGAGAGAAGAGTGTAGAAAAAATGGGGGGGGGGCGATTTTAAAGCACCACCATAGTGGGGAACAGGAGAGAATTTTGCATTACCTTTCCCTACCTTTGATGAACTCCCCAATACAAAGATTTTTATATTTGATTTAATTTTCCATAATGCTTGTAAATATTCCCCTTATATTCCAAGTTTCTTTGACATGAGACATCAAACACCTATTTAATTCCTTCAGTAGGGACTAGCAGAAGTGCCTAGGTGTTCAGCGTAACCAGAAGCCTGTGTGCTGTATCATTGTGACTCACATGGTGTCATGACCGCATGCTAAGTTCTGAGGGGGAAACTCACAGTGTTGGCTTTAAAAGGCTCACTTTATTCGCAGGCAGTGGCATTTATGCACCACAGTCTCCCAAAGTATACCACTACGATATGGACACGGAGCTGGGAAAGATCCTTCTTTCAGAAGTGGATTCGCATCCTCGAAGCTCACCTGCCTACCCAGCGGCTGTGAACTGGAGTGACTATGCCACGACCATCAAACCATTCCCAGTACAGAAAAACACTTTCAGGGGATTTATTTCCCGGGATGCGTTCAACTTCACAGAACTTTCTGCAATTGCAGGAAACCTTACAGTCTGTCAAAAAGATCTCTGCTGTCATTTAAGCTATGGAATGTTAAGAAAAGAAGAGAATGAAGTATACGCTCTAGGAGCTTTCTCAGGACTTCATGGCCGAAGGAGAAGAGAGTATTGGCAGGTAATCTCAGCTCAAGTGAAAGCAAGTGTTTAGGTATCAATAAGCTATAAGGGTTCACTTTTCATCTTTGTCCCACAGGGCCAAGTTCTTTTTCTCCACACAACTCCATACTTTGCCAGTATTACACACATGCACATACACATTGGGATTAACATATGACATTTGCAGTAGGAGTTAAGTATAATCTGATTGTTTGCTTTGAGCATATCTTTAAAGAGTATTAATCTGACCATGATGATTTTGTATTAATGAACTAGTTTACATAATATAGTGAGACTCAATAAAGCTTTCTGATGTAGTTTTGCTGGTATATCATATAAAGTCTTGTTTTAACTTTTAAAACCAACAATGAATAGGGATACCACTTTTATCTTAGTTTCTCTTGTAATCAGATGTCCTGTTCATTTCATTCCCTTCCAATGACAAATATTTAAAATGAAGCTTTTCATATAGTGTTGGCTATACATTTGTGTCTTCTTCTTATATTCTGTGTCCCACTGCCCTCTCTTAAAGAAAGGATAGGGAAAAGCAGTGATGGTCAAAGTTTTAATCATCACTTTAGCTTTAGTACTACTGTTGCCAAAAGACATCTACTCTGTTAGGCCAACTAATCACCTGGCATGCCGAACTAATGGTTTAAGTCTAATTCTAAATTGGCTTCATTCTTTCAATCCATGTTACCAAGAAAGTGGAGTAAGTTCCCAAGTCATTTGCCATTTCCAATAAAGCTGGTAATAATAAAAAACATAATCCAAATCTCTTTATCAGATAGAGAAAATATTTGCTTTGCTATAGTTATAAACTTAGTCAACTGTTCTAGTACAAGCGACGGAGATGTAAGGCATTGCATGTTCTCTACTTCTGTTCTACATAGGTATGCACAATGCTGAAATGCAAAACAACTAATTTGACAACTTGTGGACAACCAGTAGAAACTGCTGTGACAAGATTTAATATATTCTCCCTAAGTGGCACATTTGGAACAGAGTATGTTTTTCCTGAAGTGCTACTTACTAAAATTCATCTGTCACCTGGAAAATTTGAGGTAGGAGGATTTTAAGAGTATTTTTATTTTATCTGTTCTCTGAAGCCAAGTAAAATAGGTTCTGGCTAGTATATTGCTTACATTTTACAATATAGCAAACTTTCTCATACCTTAATGGCTTTAAATAAGAACCATTTTTTCACCTCTTTCTTTGTGGTTGACAATGTGAACTGAGTGCACCAAGGCTGTTTTTCTGGTTTGCAACAGGCTTAGCTGATCTTGGCTAGGCTCATTCATGCATCTGCCACTAGCTGGTCTATTGGGCTGGTTGTGATGGCCTCGCCTTAGACTGGTGGGATGATTGGGGCCACTCTCTCCCTGTGGCTTCTCCTCTTCCAGCATTATTAGGCTTGAAGGAGTCCAACAGCATCAAGAGGGAAAGCGACAATGGACAAGTTTTTCTCAATTTTCTGCTTGCACCATGTTTGCAAATGTCTCAACAACCAAAGCAAGTCACGTAACCAATGTAGTTTCAAGGGTTATAGAATTAAATGATGCGGATCTCTCAGTGGAAAGAGCTGTAAAATACATTGCAAAGGGTCAGGGATAAAGGAAGAGAAAATATTTTGGCTATTTCTACAATTACAAGTAATTCTAAAGTGATGACACTTTGTTGGAATAACATGATAATATACCTAAAACCTGTGAGCTCAAGGCACCTTTGAAAAATATTTGTTTATAGATTTCACACACATACACACACACACACACACACACACACACACACACACACACTCAACTAGGCCAGCTTGAACCCTAATGTCTCCTCTGAATTGTGGCAAATAGGGGCAGGGTTTCAGTAACTAGGGCAAAGTCATTGCATTTACTATAAAATAAAAATAGGACCTATGTTCATTCATATAAGGCATTAAGCAAGAAAGTCTTTACAATTGCTAAGTGCTGATGGTCATGTATCTGTGCCTGCCTATATTGCCAGATTGGGATATATCATATTGATATAAATATTTAATTCTGTGAAACCCACAGTTTAATGTGTAGTGCAGCCTTCAGGCTGAGAAATCCAGAGAACAGGAATCCTTGGCTGCCATAGGACCAGGTTAGGTAGAATATCATGAACAAATTGAGGCTGGAATAAAAGCATAAATGCCAACTACAGAAAATCACAATCAGATCTACACTATGGGCTCTAGAACTGGAATCTAGTAATTCAAAGGTGGTTAACTTGGCACAAATAAGCATAGATGAATTGAAAATATCTGGAGTCACTTCAGTGAGAGAAAGGAGAGCAGGATTCGTACAGGTCAGGGGTCAGGGAGTATCGGTGGGTGGCCTGTGTCTCCTAATCCCTGCTATTTCAACTGAGCACACAATCTAATCTTCTGGGTAATAATTTGACATTTCTGCGCCCCACCCCCACCATATACACTTAGAGATGTATCTCCTTGAAGGATTATCCTAGAGTGAGACTGAGCATTTATGTCTAAAAGCATTCATGCTTTTGTCATTCATGGGAGAAAGACAAAAGACTTCTTGAATTTTCCAGACCAGGTAAAAATTCCACTTTCAGAAATTCCATTTCACTCTACTCTGAACCACAGTGTTTGAAGAAGCTGGATGGTGGTAGTTAATGAGGAATTGGAGAACATGAGGAAATTAGGACACAGCTACCTTCTTTCTTTGTTTTAAATTTTTTTTATCCCAAATGGTTTCTGGTAGCTGGAAACAATAGACAGAGAATGATATGAAAGAGTAAATGGTTAAGTGCTTAACAGTATATTTGTAGCACTCAGCTCAGTAATTCTCAGAACTTGTCATGCCGTCTCCTATGTCTGGGCACCAGGCTCTCATTCTTCCATGGAAGGGAGGCAGGAAGGGAGGGGCTGCACCTATCCTTTATATTAGCCACTTTATGATATATTTATCATTTAGATCACGATTCACTGAAAGACGAAATAAGATACAGATAGTGTTACACCAGAAAAGTATAAAAGATGAACTTGCCCTCTAGTAGGCAGGGTTTTTGGTATAACAATGTCTTGGAAGAAGCTCCATGACCGTCATTTCACAAGTGTTGATTCTCTATGGCATTACTTTCCTGAAGTTCACCACATTTTAAGAAATAGACACTAACCAAACTCACAAGATAGAAACTAGAGAGGACCAATAACTGTTGTCTGAAGAAAGCTGTCCATTGGCAAGTCCTCTCAAACTTTGAAGCTATGGATCAGAAGTTTGTTTTGTAAGGACAGGATTAAAACAAAAAGGGTTGGGTATCCAAGGAACAGATTTTCACAACCAGGAAAGAAAGCCTGAGGCAATGTCCTTGTCATCAGGGCTGGTTATCTAAGACCACACTGAATCTGGTGTCTACTTTCCTCGAAAAATGCCAGATAAAGAGAAACCAATTCTTGATTTTTTAAAGTTAATCTTTCCCAACAAACCTTTTAGGTCAGGGCCCTTCTTTTAACATACTGTTTTTAGAGAGACTAGATGACCAGTTTTTTTACATGAGTGACTCCAGCCATGTCTTCTGAAGTATTTCCCAGTTTCCTCAGCTGATGCACTCTTTGTCAGCAAATATTTATATATTACCTTACTAGGTCACTTCTGCAGGGATTTCAACACATTTACTGGGTGTCTCTCCCCACCCCCAATTTTATGCTACAAGCGTGAAGTGTTGCTGACCGTAACTACAAATGTGGGAAACATCTTGCTATGATATTGTAGGCAACTGCAAGGTGTTGTCAGATATCTGATCTCTGCAACTGACTAGGTGTGCATCCTTGTGCAAGTCAGTTAACCTCTGAATTGCCCACCTGTAAAAGGAACAGGATATCTTCCTTATGGATTTGGTCAAATATGATAATGCTTGTACTGAAAATGAAAGTACTTGGTGAACAGTAAAGCATTATACAAATATCAGGACATATTTTTAAGTACTTAGTACTAAGTGTTTATCTGGTGAACCAAGGTTATTAACAACTGGAAGGGAGAGCTTGCCAGAAATAGGCCACATGTGTTGCAAATAATGTAAATATAGATCAATGTGCAGATGGGTTGGAGGCATAAGAGGCCAGGTTCCTTTTCAGACCCTGTAAATCAGAACCTTGTGAAAATGGGACCTATACTTCTTCAGTCCCACAGATGATTTTGATGGGTAAGAACGACCAGCTTAACGGACTAATCAAAAACATCAAGTGAGATTTTATATACACTGCTTAAGTGGCCAGTAAATTATATAGCACGTTTTAGAAAAATGTCTAACAAGAAACCAGTAAAAATGCTAAGTTATAGTTAGAACCTGAGAGGCAGTCACAGATCTAGAATTAATCTTGAGAAGATCAAAATAGACAAAATTTTACTATATTGATGAAAAGTCAATAGAAAGTAAAGTGTCCGTGTTTAACTTGTTTTAAACTTTCACTGAACTGTAATTTAAAATATCATTCTGGTATTTTCACTTAGTCCCTTTAATGAACAATTTAATAAACAAGGAGCAGGTTAACAATGAACACAATAAACAACAAATGTGAGCATTTAATATTTTATTTTGTTTACTTGATTACCAACAGGTTGTGTGTTTGACAACTTACTATTGATATATGTCTTTGTATGTACGCAAAGACCACAGAAATTGTCTTCTAGGATATTTAGTAAGTTTCTTCTTCGGGTAGGAAGTATCTGGTTTCTCAGCTTCCAAGTTCTTCCCCATCTAAATTGTCCTTCTCATAACTGATGGATTCATTTTCTTTTATTCTTGTCCTGTCTATTGTCTATCTACTCATGTTTCTTGTGTTTCTCTTTATTCTTGCCCCCTTCATTTGGACACATGACTTCCATACGAAGAGAGACCTCTGTGACTTCAGAATACATCTGGTCATCCCTGGCTTTTACCATCTGAACTCTACCTTTCCCTTTGACCACATGGCTTATTCTCCTCTTCACCAACCTTCTGCTCTAGCCAGTGGTGTGCTATAAATGTTAACAACCCACTTATTGAAGAAGAAAATAAAAAACCCTAATTTGTGGTATTTGCCAATTTTCATGGTGGAAATATTCCCACCAGGAGCGATTTCAAGAATGACTATCTTTAACCACCAGCTGTCAGGGTTGCCAGAATTTCAACCATGTGTCCCGTGAGCTTACACACACACCACTGGTTTCAGCACATCATTGGTTCTAACCAACTGGAGTGAGGAAGCACATTGCCTAGACCTGTCACCCACTCATGGCCCAGAATGAGACCTTGCTACTTTGATTTCCACTTCCCACAATGTCTTCTGTTTTCAGCTCCAGGGAGAAAATCCATTAACTGCTCCTTCTTGCGGCAGGTTGTCCCACTCCAGGAAGCAGATCAGTCCAGCTGTTCCTTCTCAGACCTCCTAAGCACTTATCTGTTTCCCTGTCTCATACATAATATACTGATTTCTCAGTTTCACCTTTAACTGTTAAGCTTCTTGAGGAAAGGGTGTGATTTTACTTCTCTAGCCCATGATTATCTTGCACACAATTAGACTCAAGAAATGTTTGCCGATGATGATTTTTGACTTTTCATTGAGGCTTACATGTTGCCTGCATTGAGGTTCTTGGGATCTCCAAGATAGAAATTAAGAAGAGACTCCAGAAGAATTTCCAGATAAATTTTATTAAGCTTATGGTCAAGCACAAAGGAGGCAAAACAGAGGAAAGGATGGTCCTTTGAACTTCCTCAAGGACTGGCTCTGCTTGGCTGCTTTTATAAGCAGGGAACAAAGCAAGCTTGTATGAAGAGGTGGGCTTTTTGAAAAAGGTGGGCTGGTGGAATTTTCCATGTCAGGGTCATGACTTGCTTTCCAGCTGTGTTGCCTGGTAACTATGTTTGCACTTGCGCTATGGGGGGAAGAGGGTGCTCACTGCAGTCAAATGTTGATCATCTGCACAAGTGGGTCAGTAGTTTCAGATCTGCAAGGAAGCAAGCAGTTAAAAGGAAGGAAAAACCAGGTACTTCTGCATTTTTCAGTAGGGAGGGGAAGTGTTACAACATTGTTCTGGTCAGCTTACTGGCCGTTTCTTTTGGCCACCCAGTCTTAATTTGGCTTCCTGGCTACCCAGTATTTTTCTATTCCTGGGCCCAAGCCTCTCTACTGTCTCAGTTTTATTGTTGAAACTCAAATATTGAGCTCTCTGGAATTACTCTAGTCTTCATTACATATAAAATAGCTGTCCCCATGGCCCTGGCCAGGTATTCCTGTTTAGTTGTCTAGAATATCATCCCAATACTCTAAGGTTGTGCAATCCCTTGTCAGGGCACATACGAGAATTGGTGTTTCTCTCCCCCTCACTCTCCCTTCCCCTCCCTTCTGCCCTCACTCTTTCTCTCCGTCTGTCCCTTCCTCCTTTCCCCCCTCTCTCTCCTTAAAATCAATTAACATGTTCTTGGGTGAAGATAAAAAATAAACCAAAAAAAATAGCTGTCTCTTTCTTGTTCTGTCTGGTCTCAGCTCTCCCCACCCCATCAAGCTAGAACTACTTGATCAACCATAATGTCTAGGATTATTTCAAAAACATTATTTTGCTTGTAATGCATATCTTAATCAAGCTGACTACACTTTTCCTACTGTTTCTTTAGGTACTAAAAGATGGGCGCTTGATAAACAAGAATGGAACATCTGAGCCTATCCTAACAGTGACACTCTTTGGGAGGTGGTACGCTAAGGACTCACATTCCGTCTCAGGAGGGATCAGCAATTTGGAAACAACTTACCTGTTAATATCCACTTTATCAATGATCATAGCTTTACAAATATTGTGATAGTATAGGATATCTCTTTATCACATTTATTTGTGCTGTATATATTTTGCTAAATGTGTTTATCAGCTTTCCAAATTACTAAAAAATTCTGAAGGGCCATCTCTGTAGTATAGACCAATGATTTCTAAATATGTATTTTTCTCATCTTGAATTATTTTTAACTATTTTGGTAAATTTATCCCCTTGTGCTTAGGTCAGATGAATGGGAATCAAATCTTAGCTCTAACTTTATTTGCTGTGTGACCTTGTGTGTGCTTGTGTGCTTTTGTGCGTGAAAGGAAGAGTGAAGAGCTTCAGGGTCATTGTAAACATAGTTGTGGCCTTTGAAAAAAAGAGCACTGATGAAAATTGAGTTTTATGACTGAATTCCATTTGACATTAAAGACAATTTGAATTAATCTGTTTTTTTGTGCGGATGATTCAAGAAAGGGAAATGCACTTTCCAATCAGATGGTAATATTGAAGTTTATCTTCACAGTTAATGTTGTTTTGAGATGTTCTAAAAGAGATGACAAACAGTCCAGGTTTGTATCAAAGGAGGCCTGGCTCAGGGCATTCACAGCCCCGAACTATCTCACCTGAAGGCTGTGGTATAATTTAATGGGCCCAAATCCCATAACACAAAGAGCATACTGTGAATAGGAACATTGTTTTCAACAGTGAGTAGTCTGCATTTTTCAAAACATATATATTTCATGCTACTCAAAATATAGTGTATTTGTCACTGATCATTTAATGCAAATATTCTTAAAATTAAAGAAATAAATGTTCGGATTTTTTCAGATTTAATATCTTCAAAACTATTTTGTCTAATATTTTCACATTGAGATATCACCATTGAGGCATTTTTGTTTTATTTTTATATATTGTCATATATATAGTCCTTATAGATTCAGTTTGCATATTCCATTAAAATACAGTAGGAAATGAAGACTACTTTGATAATGAACTGGTGAATATTAAGAGAAAGAAAATGGAAGTTAAGCCACATTTTGTCTTTAATTTTGAAGAGGGTCTATATGTTGCCTGTTTTCAACACTAGGGCATCAAAGATGGCCATTTGAAAGTGGTGGTGAAGGTCCATGTTTATACACATGTCCAAATCACATAACCTCCAAAATTGCATTCTGGTATCTTCTCATCAAACATGGAGAATTTCCGATTTGCAAGGTTTACTTGAAAAAGTTAGACATTATGCAATGGCATTGCTGTGTGTATTGTGACACTTGGGCAATGATATTTCACTTCAAAAAGTTAAACTGGAAAGTCAGCAGCTGACCCTAAACCCTCTGTTTTGAGAAAGAAATAAGCAAGGAGCTCCTCACAGACTCTAAGGGACAGTTTTCCCCCCTGATTCACACTTAGAGGTCTCAGGTATACAATTCATTAAAAAACAAAAGCAATACCAAACAATACCAAGTCCCAAGGAAATGAAAGAGTACATATGTAATTCGATCGTAAAATTGCTTGCGACATAGCATTTTAAACCATTTCTCCTCAGTGGTTTTCACACATGCACATTTGATTTTACCAAACAACTCAAGCATAGTGTGATTTGGCTTTGATTTACGGAAATGCACTTGAGGTAGCAGATCTTTAGTTTCTAAATAGTCTACTGTCAGAGTTCAGTTCCTTTGATAACCATCTTTCCGTTTCACCTTAAAATTTTCCTGTGGTTTTGGAGGGAGTAAACAGCGTTCCAATTTTCACCTATTTGGCTTTCACCAGGTTTTTTTCTGAAATGTTCTCTTTCAACTTCCCCGGTTACAGTTCTCTGTATTATAAAGCCTCAGCTTCAGCCTTTTCTCAGCACTCTCTTTCTTTTTTTCTTTCATTCAGGTAGCATTTGTTGATTTCATGTCATGTTTCAAGAACTAAGTACTGGGACACTGATCTATGTATTCTCTCTGTTCTCTATGCCAGTCTGTGACATTTGCCACTCTGATAGGATCTATTCCAGTAATTTGTGATATACACACAGCCTACTTTGCAAGTATCACTGCCTGTACTTTCTACTTTTTACTTCTTTGCATTCTGACCCGTTTTCATGGCATTGCTCATTCCTTTGAATGATTTCTGTTAGGAAATGCCGGGCCTGGTCTCAGGAGCTATAACCCTGCCAACGGGCTAAAAGGCCCCAAGGCCGGAAATAATCAGGAAACCCTGGAGAAACAGGCTCCTGAGGTGACTTGACCTGTTCCCCTGGGCAAGGGCGCGGCCCCTGCCCCTCTGCTTTGCCTTATGAGGGTCAATGGCCAATGACAGGTAAGACCCCTCGGGGGAGGGGCAACCTAAGGCAGGCGTTGGCTGACGGGGCTGCAGATAAGAAATGGCGGACACAGAGAAGGGGCAAAGAGGCCCCCACACCTCTAAGCTTGGCTTGGACACGGCCAGAGTCCTCATTATAGCTAAAAAGCAGTCTCCTTAGCCCTTGGTGGTTCCCTCCCCCTGCCTGGCCAACAGTGCAGGAAAAACAGCCCTAGATCAGATCTGGCGGTTGCCAGGGTAATCAGGCCTAAAAGTAAATTCTTTAGAGTGTGCTCTGTTCCTCCCTCATATCTCTGGTCAGCTCATGCTGCAAAGGACCTTCACATTATTTACACCCCTTGCCCTCTATCATTAAGGAGCTTGCCCTTGTTTTCATTCTCTTTTGTTTAGACTGGTCTTCTCTCGGACCCATGTAAATCAGTAAACTCCTGCCACTTCTTTTCTTAAAGGTATCTGTTTTCTGTGAAACTTAACATGCTAATGTAACATATATGTATGCATTCCTGTTGCCTAGTCCTACTGATAAGTTTTTCAATAAAAGCCTTGGAACAAAGGGCAACGGGGCCTTTCCCACCAGGGGGATGTGCCAAGGCCTTCTCTAGTAGGAGGGATGTACCCGCGTCTGCTCTCCTGGCAAGCAGAGAAGTGTTTGCAGCATTTTGTGTTTATTCCCCTTTATCCGTGACAACCCCGGGATGGGGCTCTGAGGGTTTCAGAGCCCTGCTCCCACCTCAGCGGGCCCCAGCCGGTTTCCCTCAGGTTTCAGGGAGTGCTGTGCTCTCTGCGGTGCTCCCCGACGGTGGCACGCCCCTATAGCCACCGCGCAGTGCGACAGATTTCCAGTGCTATTATTTCTTTCTGACATCTTTCCTAAATTCCACTCACACTTCTAACTCCATTCTGTTCATCTCACCCACATATTCTCTAGATGATAGTGTTCTGAAAGAAGTCTGAGGGCAGATGACTGTTTAGGTTCACATGGTTCACACACACACACACACACACACACACACACACACTCAGTCACACAGGCACTTCTAACAAAAGCATTCTTGAAAAACATTTGAATGCAGGAACAGTAACAACTGTTAAGAGTATTTCTTGAGTTACTACAGTTGGAAACAGAACATATTTGGAGTGTGAAAGAGGATATTTCAACAGTGTCTTAGAAAATTTTCAAGCCACCTGAAGATACATTAAAGTGAAAATAAGGATGAACTGAGTGATTTAAGTTTACCTGTTTTCAAGACGTTTGTGACATATTATTTATGTAAATATGGATGGAACAGACTGATTCCTGTCAGAGGGGAGGGGATTGGGTGAAAAACGCGAATGGATTAAGCAAGCAAAACAAAACAAAAAATCCCCTGGAGACACAGACAACAGTATAGTGATTACCAGAGGGAAAGGTGGGTGGGGGAGGTAGATGAGGGTAAAGGGGGAATAAATGGTGATGGAAGGAGACTTGACTTGGGGTGGTGTACACACAGTACCATTGACAGATGATGTGTTATAAAATTGTACACCTGAAACCTATATAATCTTATTAACCAAAGCCACTCCAATAAATTCAATTAAAAAATTTGCTGGAGAGCATTATGCTAAGCGAAATAAGCCAGGGGGCGAAAGACAAATACCATATGATCTCACCTATAAGCGGAACCTAACCAACAATACAAAGATGCAAGGAAAATAAGACCAGCAACACTGAAAGGAAAAGAAACCAATAGAGACAAGAGGGAAGGAGGGAGGAGGGGCGGAGGAAAAGGAAGGGAAGGGGAAAGTCAAGGAACATATAGCAAGGACTCATGGACAAAACCAAAGGGGAAGAGGGGAGGGAGGGAGGGAGGGAGGGATGGAGGGGGCAAGGGAAAGTGGTAGGGGGTAGGCAGAGACAAATGATTTGAAAAAAAAAAATTGGATTGAATCATAGGTATGATCAGTTATAACCCATTTCTACTCTGTTCTTCTTACATAGTTTTCATCTTTTTTCTCAGAAGTTAATATTTTAATACTGTACTTTTGTCTATTCCTACTGAATGCTTGAATTTCAGCCCATTAGCTGGAGCATAAGGACTTTTTATATCAAAGTCATTTTACATTATAATTTTAATCTTTGATGGAATTAATATATAATGAAAACATTTTAAGCAATTGACAATTATAAGTCTTATACATGTTGTTTCTGATAGACTCACTGAACTTTTCACCCTTTTGGACAAAGAGAAAAAAGGCAAAAAAAAGGAGGCCAATACTCTTTTTATGATAAATAAAAATACCCATGAAGTATACATTTTAATACAGTTACTTATAATGACTAGTGTGCTGAAGGCTTTGTAAATTAAAAGCAGACATAACAGACATATAAAATATTTAAAGTCCAGAAGGTTAAAATGAAGATTTTCAGAGGCAACTTTATGAGGACAGTAATTTACTTTAATGATTTTGCCATCCTATTTAATATAAAATGTATTTTAGGTGGCTTGGTTGTTTGATTTCATCATCTTATATATCCACATTTGGCATGTCTTAATTGCGATTAAGAAATCTACTATAGCAACTTCTATGTTATCGATAAGTTTTTATTTTCTAGAGCTCAAAAGCCAGAGCTAAGTAAATCTATCATAAAAATATAGAAAACAATAGCTTTTAAAGAAATGAATGTAAAGTCTAACATATTTTATATCTATAGGACTTTAAATCCATTATAAATTTTTATAACCCTTATGGTATCACTAAGTACTATTAACCTCATTTTATAAATGATAACACTGAAGTTCAGGGAGTTGGGTAAGTTTCCCAAGGTTGATATACCTAATAAGTAGAGAAGTACTTATTAACTAATTATTTGATCCCAGTCCAACTAATTCAATAACTTTCCTAAGACAGTAATAAGTACAGGTAAACGGAAAACAGCTACCTTTGTGCTGTGTGGAACACAGTACACTTCATGCTATTAATTAGTCAATCACATACCTGATATGTTTACCATTAAAAGAGTTTCTTGGTGACAGAATCCAGGCTTATTCATTTTTGATGTATTGCTAATATATATCACAGTGCCTAGAACAAAGGTGCTGAATGAACTGAAAAAATTACTAAGAACAGAAAGAATGGATGCCCAGAATGGGTGTCTGCTCTATAGACCCTAGTGGAAGAAATGAAAATGTTTCATTGATTTGTTGATCAGAGCACATCTCCAATATGACCAGATGTGAAATCAAACAAGCACATGTGATGTGTAGATTTTGGTGATGTATAGAACACATCCGTGAATTAATGAGAGCAGTGTTGTTTGGATATGACATGAAAGCAATTGCTTATAATCACTCCTGCTGAGAGACATCTAATATAAATATACTTTGGACTGAATGAAAATAGAAGTAGGAAGCATGTAGTTGGAGGACAGAAGGATGTCTTACTGTCAAGTCCTAACATGTCTTATGGTTAAGAACCTACTTGTTGATCAAATAGCTCACTGATTTAAAAGAAATCCAAATATTCTATAAAAGATGATAAAGTGGAAGTATAAGAAGTTAACTGAAAGCATAAAAGGACTAAGAAGGAAGGAAAAGGCATATGTAGAATAGATGTCAAGGGGTTCAAAAGTCTTCAGAAATGTGAGTTTTTCCTTCATTGCCATTTTAGGCCTTCATTCTCTCAGGAATAAAAGGCCAAATGATTAAGGGAATCAGAATTACTCTCAGAAACTTTTATTTCTTGAGGTGAATGTTACTTGTTTGTCTCTGCCAGGCCTTCTCTCTCTCTTCTTTATTAAAGGGAACTCCTTCATGTGGTTGGGGTTGGAGATCACCCCTCTTAGCTCCAGTATGTGTCCAAACTTTGCTGGTCATGGACTAGAACTGCAAGGACAGAGATTTGTGCAGCGCTGAGTACTTGTGTGAAGCCACATTGGTGAGAATCCTCCCTAGGACTTTTGATGATAAAAGCAATTAAAAAAGAATCCCTCCCTTCTGAATCAGAGACTCAAGAACCATGTAAATCTGCAGCCCCCAGAAGCCATCTTCACTAATGTGGAGAGCAAGACCCATAAAATGGTGTTGGTCCGCTCAAAATAGCATAAAGTATATCAAACAAAGTAGATTTACTCATGTCAACCAAGATGGCTGCCAGTCAGCTATGACACTTTGGTTCAAGAGAAAAACTACCTATGTAAGAGCAGACACATATGGCAAGGAGACACACCTAAGATACCTGCACATGTGATCAGAACAGCCATCTCTGTAGAGTGGGACCACCCTTGGATAGGCTCCTGGGGAAATTCCCCACTTGGCATCAGGGTGCCAAGACACTTATCAAGAGACCCAGGAGGGTGGAGAGCACCACTTTCAAGGTATGAGAGAGGCAGGCTTCTGACCACTGCTGAGACAGCCAAGCTCCACGCTCCAGAGTGCTGCTGCATGGTACGCTGCTCTCCCTGGGCATCGGCCGCAGGAGGTTCTGCCCCACTGGACTGAGGACTCCGTCTGCCCTGCTGCCCATCTGTCTCTGAGGATCCTTCCTAACAAGATGCTGACAACTCCCTTGCCCACTGTGCTCAGCCTCTCAGACCTGCAAACTGAGACTCTGGGATTCATCTTTGTTATTCCCCACTGATTGCTGGGTATATGTGTTATATTTGTCTTAGATTGTTAGAATGTGAGTAGGATATTAATGACTATTGATATTCTACTTTGAGTGAACCTGCATGCAATAAAAGCTGAGTGAATAACATAGTCACTATGTGTAACTCTTGTCTATTCCTGGGTGCTGGGCTACTCAGCAGGCAGTTAGCCAAGGAGTTGCCCAGCTGACTAACAGGAAACTCTACAAAGAGAACATACGCTCGTGACTGCGAACTGAAAAGAGTTTCTAAGAATGAAGGCCAAGAAGAGCTGAGCCAGAGAACTGTGAAGACATAACTCCAGCACCTGCATTCAGATTTTTACCTGACCTGTATTCCACCAGACTGTCCAGATATGTGAGCCAAGGAGTTTTTTCCTTTCCTTTTCATTTTTGGCTCAAAGTGCTTTGAGCTGGATACCATCACTTGGACAAATGTGTTTCCTTGTTTTTGTTTTCCTGATCTAATTCTGCGTAGTGAGTTACACAACACCTCTAAATGCAAAGGCTCTGTGCTCTTTTCTTCAGGGATATTTTGAAGGCTTGGCACTATTCTTCTGCTAGTTTTAGGTACAATAACCTAAAAAACAGTGGGCGGCAGTTGCTCCATAGAGGACAATGTGCAAGAAAAGGAGAGGAGGGAAGCCACACTGGGCTCAAAGAAAGAGCCTGCCTAGGGCTTAGAAATAGCACAGCCTTAGGGTGTTTCCTTATGAAATAAATGCACATTGCAAGTTATTTAAAAATTCATTACAAAAAATGTTTCTGATATAGGCAGTATCCTTGCTAGTCCTTATATATCAGTGTCCTGGAACAGGTCAGTGACAGCCAAACTGCTGCAGTTGGGCAACCCACGTCAACCAAAATCATGGGGGATGTTTCTTGTACAAGCAAGAACTGGAACTGCTGATGCCTGCAATATGCTTATAAGGAAGCTATCAGTATGTGAGTTGTTAGAATACTGACATATCCTATGCTTCCTTGGGCTTCCCTCATGAGGAGCTAATGGGAAATATTAACCTACCCTAATTATTTAGCCAAGAAAAGGAAAATTAAACAAATTATATTATAATTTTATTAAATGTCTTAGTAAATATGAATGTGGACAATATGCCTTATTTTTCCTGAAAATAAAAGAAATGGTCTAAAATAATGGTCATGAAGCTCTACTTTCTGGTCAAAGATCAGCTCAACATTAATTGCAAAAAAGCTGAGAGATCACAGAGAGAGCCTGAACAGCCTCTAATGCAATTAAGTCATCAATTTATGAGGCTGTCTTCTTGCAGTTACAAAATCCACAATAGCTATTACATATTTGTTGAACACCTATTTGGTCCCAGGAGCTGTACCTGGTACACTATGCACATTATCTTATTCAGTTTATGTAGCAGGTATGACTATTTCCATCTTAAATATGAGAATGAAAGGAGGTTTAAGGGCCCTGGCCAATGTGTTTCCGTTAGTTGGAGCATGGTTTGGTAAACCAACAGGCCGGGGGGTTGATTCCCAGTCAGGGCACATGCTTAGGTTTCCGGTTCTGTTCCCAGTGAGGGCATGTATGAGAGGCAACTGACACTCGTTTCTCTCTTGCTCTGATGTTTCTCTCCCCATCTCTCTTCTTCTTCTCCCCTTTCTCTAAAAGCAATAAGTATGTCCTTAAATGAGGATTTTTTTTAAAAAAAAGAAGGCTCAAGTTTCCATAATTGGTAATTAGCACAGCTGGAATTCAACACACCGATTTCCATTGATCCATGCTAACTGAATGTCCTCTGAGGGCCTGGCTGTACTATATTATATTTGAAATTTCCAGTGACTAGTAAATTCCCTTCTTTGACAGTGTGTTTTGGTTACTAAAAATTTTTATCTTATTTTCTGCTAAAATTTCTCTATAACTTTCTTTGGTCTTTGTATGTTAATGTCCATGACTCATTTTCAGATTAGGGCCTTCCAAGTACAGTACTTGAAGTCAGCTATCATTCTACCTATTTCATCATCCCAATCCCTTCTTATTTCTAAGACAAATATCCTAGACAAGTAATGGAAATGTGAATGGATTTGGCATTGCTTTGAAAAGCAATTTTGTAGCCTGCATTTATCTCAGGGTTTTTCACAAGGGCCCTCTAAGGCAGAAACGAAGCTATTAGTTTGCATGAAAAAACTGAGCCATAATAGTGAAGTGCTTTTCCTTCCCTTTTATTTTCTTTCTTCTTCTTCTTTCAAAAAAAAAAAAAAAAAAATCCAGTACAAAATGCTGCATTTGTTCTCTATAGAAGATGATTTATATCAGGCCAACTCTCAATATTTATTGCCTCCTAGTAAGACTATGGCTCATATTGTAGAAAAGGTCCTCCCCATTAGAAGAGTTTGTTACATTTCAAGCCCTTATTTGCCTTTCTGGAGCACTTTATAAGGGAGTGTGCTTTTTTCTTCTTTCTTTTCTTCTTCCACCATCTTTTCTGTGCTTCTGTCTCTCACTTCAATCTGGAGCCTGGCACAATAAAATAGATTAGCTCTCAAAAAAATGAAGATTATATAGCATGTGAGTTTTTATATCTTTTCTGTTGATTCTTAACCTAGAGCTGTTAGATTATAGCTAATAGGCAAATAAAGTATCACTTTGAAAGTTCAGAAATTACTAAAATATATTAAGTTTAAAGCAACATCTATTGAACTAGGTTTGGCTATGCTCCAGTACAAGAAAGTCTCAGCTGCCTGGCCAAGGACAACTCTATCTACATGGTGGCAAATATTGGGGACAAGAAACAGTGCAATGCCAGTGACCCCCAGTGTCCCTCTCATGGTCATAACCAATACAACACTGATGTGGTGTTTGATTCTGAGGGTAGGCTGGTGACACACTACCATAGGTGAGAATTATTTGTATCTTAGCTACACTTGATTTACTTCTTCTGTTTGTTTTTGCTATGCATGCAACTTGTCTGTCGAATGTTGGTGAGAGACCTGTTTTGAACACATTTCTTAATTATTACATTTTAGTTGAAAAAGAATTAAATTTACTTTGGTTTCATAAAGGGTTCTGAATCTAAATTAGTAACAAAATGGAATATGGCAGAATATTAAAGAGTAATAATAATAGTTTCATTAACTTTTTAATATTCTCTGAGAAAGAAGGAGAAATACTCTGTTTCAATGATGATTTAATTCTAGAGTTAATTTTTTGGTCCAATTTTTTAATATTTTGTAAGAAACTTTAGTCATTCATTTCATTATAACTTTTTTTAATTGCAATACAATAATAGAAGATCCCAATTGAAATTGATTTAACCCACCCCAATGGAATTTCCTTGCTTATATACTTAAAAAGTAGAAAGGGTAAGTCTTGTTTCAGATGTAGTCTGTCCCTTAGAAGCTCAAACGATATCACCCAGTCCTCCAGCTCTCTTAGTCCTATGTTGCAGTATTGTTGTGTTTTTTTAAGGCTAACCATCTTTTTATAAACTACATCCTTGTAGCAACAAAGTTCAGAGGAAAAGTGTAAAGAATAGGATATCAAGAGTGTATGGAATAGGATACACTCTTATATACTAAGAAGCTCACATCCTTATAGCAACAAAGTCCAGAGGAAGAGTGTATTTCTTTCACTAAGGAACCCTGCAAAAACCCCATTGTGCTTGACTCCAATTAGGACACATGCATTCATTGAGCGGATCCCTGTGGAGTGGACGGGCTACCACTGAGGGAGGGTGCAGGAGCTCACTGAGGGGAGAGGGCTGTTGTCAGAGAGCACACATATGCACAATCAGGCCAAATAAAATCCTGAGCTAAGCATATGCTGCACCCTTGTGTCCAGGTGAAGTGGAGTTTTGTAGCAATAATCAGGCTGAAAAAAGAATTATTAATGGCTTACTAACTAACAAGGTCTAGCTATTACATTGTCTATAAATTAAAATGAGTAGAAGAAGAAAATAATAAAGATCAGAACAGAAATAAACAATACAGAGTCTAAAAAAATACAAAATATCAATGAAACTAAAAGATGGTTCTTGGAAAAGATAACCAAGATTAACAAATATTCAAAACAAATGCATCAAAAAGCTCATACACCATGATTAAGTGGGATTATTCTGGGAATGTAAGGTTAGTACACCATTCACAAATCAATAAATGTGATTCACCACATAAACAAAATGAAAGATAAAAACCACATGATCATATCAGTAGAGGCAGGAAAAGCATTTGATAAAATCCAGCACCCATTTATGATAAAAACTCTCAGCAAAGTGGGAATAGAGGGAACATATCTAAATATAATAAAGGCCATATATGACAAATCCACTGTCAGCATCATACTCAATAGGTCAAAACTTCAAGTGTTCCCATTAAGATCAGGAACAAGACAGGGATGTCCACTTTCACCTCTCTTATTCAACATAGTACTGGAATTCCTAGCCACAGCAATCACACAAGAAGACAAAGTAAAAGGCATCCACATTGGAAAGGAAGAAGTAAAACTGTCTTTTTACTTGCAGATGACATGATACTGTACATAGAAAACCTCAAAGATTGCACCAAGAAACTACTAGAACTAGTAAATGAATTCAGCAAATTAGCAGGATACAAATTAATTTTAAATCTACTTCACTTACATAAACCTAGAAGTATAATAGGGAAGCATGGCAAAGTTAGTTTTATTAACATGTCAGGCTTTGCATGGGCGGTGCTGTTGGTGCTCAAGGAGTACAGTGAAAAACAGTCCAAAATTTGTCAGATTCAAAATTCAACCTATGAATTTAAGACAGGAATGGTAACCTTCTAAATATCATTTATAGACATAATCTCATTGATTCATTTGTTGGTTGTGGAAAAATGGGTTTTTGATTAATGTCACAGTGAAAAAATTCATAGACAATATATTGGGTATGAATACTGGGTATGATTTATACATATTTATGTAACAGTTTTAAATATGTACATCAGCATTCATGGAAGAAAGAGTTTATGGGTATTGATCACATCTATTTGGCAGTGTTCTTACTAATTTTCCCCTTCTTTGCTTATTGTTAACAGAACAATCTTTTTGCACATGAAATTCAGTTTGATTTCCCCAAAGATTCAGAATTTGGGACTTTTGACACTCTTTTTGGGAAGTTTGACATTTTCACTTGCTTTGACATTTTTTCTCATGATCCGGCTGTAGTCGTGGTGGAAAAGTTTCAAGTTGACAGTGTTCTCTTCCCTACGGCATGGGGCAACACGCTGCCCCTCCTCTCAGCTGTCCCCTTCCACTCGTCATGGGCCAGAGGCATGAGAGTTAACCTGCTTGCAGCAAATGCCCACAATGCCACCGAGCATATGACAGGTAACTCACACCTGACATGCACCAACTGGCAGTGACAGTCTTAGGAAGTCTTTACTGATTGTCAAGCTACGCTTTTCTTTAATGATTGTTTTATTAACCCTAATGTCACAAAATTGATAAATGCAAGGGTTTCTATCCCAGCATTCCTTAAATGGAATATTATCTCTAGAGTAAAGAAGAATGCAAACATTATTGTCTCAAAATAGCATGAGGGAAAATTGGAGTTAAAAAGTGAAGGAACATAAAAAATCAAATCAAAGCCAGATCTAGAGAACTTTGCAGCCAGTGTCCATTAGAGATATTGAAATAAATGTTATTGAGGTGATCAAATCACTTTAGAGTTGATCAGGTTTTTGGAGTTTCTTTTATACAGGGTGGGGAAAAGTAGGTTTATAGCTGTTTGCATGGAAAATAATAAAATAATCAATAAACAATAATACAAGAATAAACTCTGTGTTTCACATACTCAATGTAAACGTACTTTTCCCCCACCTTGAACTATCCGTGCTCAAGGTAATGCAGGCACCTCTCTTGACTGCTTTGTTATTCATTGATCCAGATGAAGAATCTCAAACAAATAAATTCAATAGGTCAGTGCAGAGCTACAGTTATTCCTCATGTTTGGAGAACTTTCTAGTTTGTTTTTAAATTGGCTAGAAAAAGGATAGCTTAAGAAAAAAGGAAGGAAGGGAGAGAGGGAGGGAAGGAGAGAGGGAAGAAGGAAAAAGTCCATCCAAATCATTTCAGTGCCAACAGAGTGACAGAGTCAAATTGAAACTTGTGCCAACACATCAGCTATCTCCTTACCTATCTTGAAAATCCTTTTGCTTTTGTAACTTTTTATTTAATTTCTTATGGGAATGATTTTATTAGTTTGTCACCATGTAAAATTTGAAAGGAATCCTTGTGTTTCTTTATGTCGTCCATCAGGAGTGGAATCTACATGCCTGAAGCAGTCAAGGTGTGTCACTATGACGTGGAAACAGAGAGCGGCCAGCTGTTGCTCTCAGCATGAAGTCCTGGCCTCAAAGTGAACCCTCCTACCCTGCACCTGTTGGCTGGAATGCTTATGCCAAAGGCATCCAGCAGTTCTCATCTGAACAGTCGGACTTTCCTGGGATGTTTTATTTTGATGAGTTCACCTTCACTGAGCTTAAGAGAAGCACACCGTTTGCCAGAAAGACCTGTGCTGTCACTTAACTTACAAGATGTCTGAGAAGCGAGCAGGTAAGATGTACGCACTGGGAGCTTTTGATGGACTGCTCACAGTAGAAGGCCAATATTACCTGCAGGTGGATATGCTTGAATATGTTAGGGTGGCTTCTTTATTAGTTATTCTTCTAGGCCATCATTTTATTTCTTTAAAAATTGTGCTGGATTCAGTTCATTGGAACAATGTTACATTTATCACTGAACTACACATTTCCCCAACACTTGATTTGTTCAGTCTTAGAAAGAGTAGAATTAGTTCTCTTGGTTGCAAGGTAAAAACGTAAAGCAGATTGATTAGTTCTCAGCAGGCCAGTTTCAAGTTTTAAAAGGAGCAAATTCCATGTATTCTCTTTTTTTGCCCGTTACTTTGGAGCAGTGTTTTTCAAAGTGTCTTCAACTAAAGCACACAGTAAGAGGCCCATTTTACATCATGGCCCAGTGTAGTCAAGATGTGTGATTGAGTTAGAAAAGATATTTAGCGGGGGAAAAGGAAGGGAAGGGGAAAGTCAAAGACCATATAGCAAGGTCTCATGGACAAAACCAAGGGGGAAGGGTTGGGGGAGGAGGGGGCATGGGATAGTGGTGGGGGTAAGGCAGAGACAAATGTATTTGGAAAAAAAAAAAAGAGAGACCAACAAGATTTAATGACCATGAACATATATGTGCTTAGTAATAGTAGGCTTAAAAGTGTATGGTACAATAACTGACAGAACAATAAAATTAATTAATTGGAAAAAAAGATATTTAATTGAAACAAATATTTATGAAAAAATTCAAATTAGAAAAGCTATAATTATGTACAATGCACTCTGATTTTTTAAATTTTAGTCTATTCCATTTTGCTTCATTGGAAAAAAAAAAGAGCTAATTCTGATCCACTAAATTGATTTTAGGATTCACTAATAGGTTATGACCTGCAATTTGAAAAATTCTGCTTACGAGACAACCTAACAAACATTACTCTATTCATTGAATTTTTTTCTTTTTGCTGAGAAGACATTCCCAAGATTTTTCGCCACTTTTATTTTCTTTGCCTACATAGATATACACGTTACTGAAGTGTCAAACTACTGACCTGAGAACTTGTGGGGAGCCCATTGGATCTGCTTTTACCAAGTTTGAAGAATTCTCCCTCAGTGGCACATTTGGAACGAGTTATGTTTTTCCACAGATCACTCTAAGTGGGACTCAGCTTGCCCCCCAAACGCATTATGAGATAGGAGGTTTTCAGGATGACAAATTTCTTTGAACAGATGAGGTAGACTGACACAATGAAAATCTTAAAAATGATCAGTCAATATTGCAATTTTCTGTCTTGCATTACACAAGCAACTCTTTAAAGATATGTGTAAGACAAATGTGGTTCTAGATTGTCTTTAAGGTGTGATGGAGAGTTTGAAGTTCATTTTCCTACATAAATATGATTTTGAGCTCCAGGGCAGCCTTAAGATTATGGAGAAAGTAAAATGAAAGTATCGATTGTGGATAGTGGCTGGCAACTAATGTTCTTACGTGCATGGGGTGGAAAGTCCAAGTTAAACTCATTAAATAAGACATCCACAATTTACTGCATGTGTATGTTATTTTGAGAAGTTGTAACAATGACAGTAATAATCAATACTCTGCATAGTGTTTCATGAGTTAAAAGAATTCTTTTTTATACATTATCTTATTTAACCCCTGTGAAATAGATTTATTTGCTGCATTTTCATATAAGGTCCCTCTGCTATTAGAACTATGGATCTGAAACATGGGTCTTCTGACACCAAATCTTGTGTGCTTTTGACTATTTTATGCTGCTTTTAGAGTGATTTTGCCAGAAAAGGCATGCGGGCTGGAAACCAAGCCCTGCACAGGAGTTAATCCTTTGCTTTCTTTGATCAGGTTTCAAGAGACGGACGTCTGAAGAGCAGAAGCGGAGCCCCTTTGCCTGTCTTAGCTATGGCCCTGTATGGAAGAGTGTTCAAGGAGGACTCTCTGGAATTAGGGCAGGGGCCAGGGAAATTAGAATGATCCCCTTTTACCAGCACTCTTTCAGGATTAGCCTGACAAAAGGAGGGAGAAAAAGAAAAGGAAAAAAAGGAGAGAGAGAGAGACCTTAGCATCTGTTTATAAGAGCTAGCATAAATTTGTTGAAACAACAAAGACTGAAGAAACAATAGATGTGTGCACAAATTTCACATTTTACATATTTGATTAGCACATACTCATTAATAGAAGCTGCATTCATGTTCCATGTAGATGCATTTAAGTATGTGTAAGTATATATATGTACAGTAGAACCTCTATTTAAATGGGAGGAAAGCCTAGAAAAATCTTGTTATGGTAATTGCTCTAATGTATGCAAATGTTGTTTCTTTTTTTTTGTTTGTTTAGAGCACCTTTGTTCATAATTGCCAAAATTTGGAAGCAAGCGAGGTATCTTTCAGTAGATGAATGGATAAATAAATAAACTGTGGTACATTCAGACAATGGAATATAATTTAGTGATTAAAAGAAAGGAGCTATCAAGCCATGAAAAGACATGGAGGAAATTTAAATGCATAATACCAAGGGAAAGAAGCCAAACCAAAGCGATACATACCATCTGATTCCAACTATATAACTTTCTGGAAAAGGCAAAACTATGGAGACAGTAAGCATCAGTGGTTGCCATGAGTTGGATGGGGGAGGGGGAAGGAGGGATAAGTATGCAGAGCATAGAGGATTTGGGGGTAGTGAAATTACTCTGTAAGATGCCATATTGATGGATACATGTCATTACACATTTGTCCAAACCCATTGGATGTACAACACCAAAAGTGAAGCCTAGAGTAGACTATGGACTTTGGGTAATTATGATGTTTTCATTATTTGTAATAAATGGACCACTCTGGTGGAAGATATTGACAATGGGAGAGGCTGTGCATGTGTAGAAACAGGGGGTATATGGGCAATCTCTCTACCTTTCCCTCATTTTTTTCTCTCACAAATGTTATTTCTATCATTTTCAAATATACAGGGTGAACACTGAATATACAAAGGGTTTTTTGATCCTAGTCATTTAAGAGACAGAAAATGAAAAAATAAGGGCATCTTTTAAGTAATTATGAACAACATTTTAACTAATTTAAATTGTTCTTTTATCTCTTTATTCTACTCTTATGGTCAATTTGTATGGAAATTTGATACCTAGAATGAAAGTTAAAGAAATAAATTATCTCCTTCAGACCATATGCTGTTTCCTTCTGAAATTATTCTATTCTAAAATCTGCCCAATCCTGATTAAGTTCCTTCTGTACTCAGGGATTGGTTGCAGGCTGTGCTAGACTGAGGTCTTCCTTAGAAAGGGCCACTGCATCATTTCTCCTCAGTTACCCTTGGTCCCCAGGCCCTGGCTCCGAGTTCTTTTTCTGGTTGGTCACTGATTAACTCTGGAAGGAGACACATATGAGAGCAGGGGGACTCTCTGGGATATGCGGGAGTGATAGAGGATCACGCTAAGTTTGGGAACACCCCTTTTCCCACACAAGATAAGGCAGTGGCATTCTTGGATTTTTCCCAGGTGTTTATTTCCACCTAATTAATTAAGTCCAGTTCCAGGAGGCTGGAGACATTCTGGGAAACAGGAAATGCCCCTGGCCTCTGCTTCCACCATTCTTAGATCTTTCTCCAGGGACTATGACACTAGAATCGTAGGACTGTCGCTGTGCCCCCAATTTCCTCCCGAAGGACTAATGTCAATTCTTCTTAGGTTTCTTTCCCCTCTCTCCTAGATAGTTGTCTGGAGGCTGCATTAGCACCTGGTGGCCCCACCGTCTTCACCATCTCTCACCCTTGGCACCTCATGTAAGCCAACCTCTGCCCACAACCAACCCGCCCCCCACCACATGCCGAGGTGAGGGCAGGACGGCAGGATGGAATATTCCAACCCTCTCCTCCCATGACTGGCCCCACTGGCATACAAACTCCATTCTTAGTTGCTTTCCAAAAGTTACCTCATGAACATAACAAAAGACACCCTTATTGTTCTCCTCACTTAGGAAAATCCAAGGGTTTTAGGAACTTTGTGAGAGACAAAGATCAAATACATATTTCTTACTATAAATCACAAGATCACACATACACAAACATTGGTAAGCACGTATATACACATGAGTATGCAGATGCTCTTCAGAGTTCACCAGCTGTCCTCAAATGCTTATCTCATCCTCAAAATCAGCATGAAATCAGCATTTGCACTGAACTACCTGGATCAGCTGGATCAACTGAGGAGGTAACTGGTAAGGGAAATAAACTATACAAAGTTGCACAGCAAGCAATAGGTAGTAGTAGGGCAAGAACCAGCTTATTTCCTTAAAAGCCACTTCTATTAGGAGCTGGGGACATAGAGAAGTATAAGAAGCAGTGCCCACTGTGTTCAGTCCTTGTCCTCCCTGTCTTGAATGTATGTTCATAGTAGTCTTTCCTAAAAGTCAGTTGGGCATCTGCTCAGCTAGCTGCTTACTGAACAACTTGGCACCAAGGAATGGAAAAGAGTCACGCAAGGTAACTATGCTATTTATTCAGCTTTTTTTGAATGCAGGTTCATTCAAAGTAGAACATCAACACACACCCTAACTCACACTAATATCCTATATCCTACTCACACTCTAACAATCTGATATCCTGCTCACACTCTAACAATCTGATATCCTACTCACACTCTAACAATCTGATATCCTACTCACACTCTAACAATTTGAGACACATATAAAACACACACAACAATCAATGGGAAATAACAAACCTGAATCCCAGAGTCTTAGCCTGCAGATCCGGGAGACAGGACAAGGGAGACTTCAATGTCTTGCAAGGAAGGATCTCTGGAGCCAGGTGGGCGGCAGGGCAGACTAAGTCCTCAGTCCAGCAGGGCAGAGCCTCTGGCAGCCGATGCCAAGGGAGATCTGTGTGGCGTGGAGCAGCGCTCCAGTGTGTGGGGCTCAGCTGTCTGAGAAGCGGTCTGGAGCCTGCCTCGGTTATACCTTGAAAGTGGTGTACTCCACCCTTCTGGGTCTCTTGGTAAGTGTCTTGGCACCCCTGATGGCACCCCAGGAGCCTGTTTTTGGGTGACCCCACTCTGCAGACAAGGCTGTTCTGTTCGCATGTGCAGATATCTTAGGTGTGTCTCCTTGCCAGGTATGTCTAGCATGACTTAGGTAGCTTCCCTCTTGAACCAAAGTGTCATGGCTGATTAGCAGTCACCTTGGCTGACTTGAGCGACTCCACTTTGTTTTATGTACTTTATGGTCTCTTGACCAGACCAATGCTATTTTATTGGTCTTGCTCTCCACACTCTCCTCCTTTTTCCTTGTTTCTGAGTCTCTCCACTTATTCTGGGCAAGACTTACTGCTGATTTCCTTTGAGGGCCTGCTGCCTGGGTAGGTGTTATCCCTATTTTCTCAGCAACATCCAGACTAATGTGAATCTTGTTCCTACTCTAAGCAGTAGGATGTCACGTTTTCCCTCTCAAGAGGCAATTCTCTCTATCTGTGCATTTTTGTTTGAAGGAGTCTGCAGATATTAATCAAGGTTTCTCTCCTCTTTTATTGGAGACAATTACCCCAACCTCTGTACTCTGTAAGAACAGAGGTTGCTTTTGGGAAGCTTGGCACCCTCTAGATGGCTTATGAAAACGTTACTGGAGTTCACTTCCTTTTACTGATGCAGTAATGAATTACAGATTAGCGAGACAAAGGTGGGCGAGTAAGAAGAGGTTCATTAATATGGGAGAGAACAGAGAATGGGCCTTCTGGAAAGTGGCTGTGGCTGGTGAGAAAGGTGGAGTCTTCTGAGTCTGCTGCCTTAAGTACATGAGTGATTATTGCATTGTCAAGGGGCGGCGGGGGGTGTGGGGAGTTCAATATTGATTGACAGGTACTTTGGTTGTAGTCTTTTCTGTGCATGCCCTTTCGCATAATTCTCTCTTGCCGCTGCCTAACAAAAGGTGACACAGTGGCACTCGATGTCAGGAGACTCAGCTCAGGTGCCGCAGTAGACACTGTTGGTGCCCACTAGTTTCAGCGTTAGCTGATAGCATTCTCCTGCAAAACTGCAGCTGTCCACCTGAAGACTTATTCTTGGCCGGTGCATACATGCCACGTAGGCCACAACTGCCAAATTAATGTGCTGGTAACCTAGAGAGGAGGGGGAGGGGGACAGAGACCAATGATTAAGTCAGTTTTGTAGTGAGCCGGTGCCCCTGGGCTGTGACCTTCACAAGTCTTTCTCAGTCTTTTTTCTTCCCCCTTAGTTGATGCAGGAGAGTTAGAGTTGAGGTTTTTCTCTTCTCCAGATTGGTTAATAGATTCCTTTGAGGGAACGCTTTTGATAAGGAGAACAAAATACTCAAGATTTATTTCAAAGTGGATTTTCTTCTCTTCCTTATTTAGTAAGCATTAGTTTTTGTTTTGTTTTGTTTTCTCAGTTGTTTGCCCAGGGAATTTGTTGAAGTTCTTGGAGGTAAAACACACAAAAGTTCAAGAGCCTTCCTGACACTGGAATTCCCCTAATTTTTACCTCTCAAGTTGATCCACAATGTGCCTCTAGCAATTCACTGATGCTATCCCAGTGTGGAGGAAGAAGGGCTTCTATGGAAAGTACTCTAACAGGGAGATCTGCTTATAAATTCCTAACTGGGCAGGTCATGAGGTATTAAGTAGTAACACCCACATAATATAACTTCTTTAATAAGATGTTAGTCTTTAAGCAAACCTGTCTACTGTTTCTGAGAATCTAGGTTAACACACCTTTGAAACACCTCTTTTGAGACCCCTCAATAGAAGCCACCCTCAAGAGAGCACATGATCTTGTTAATGTAATCCAATCCTTGCCTTGCTTTCTCCCACCTTCCTGTAATCTTCCTTATAGTCCCTCCTTAATTCTGACTGACAAGTGCAAAACTGTCATTCATCAGAGCATTTGGCACGCTCTTGCTTCCTGGCAATTGTTAGTTTTGGCTCAAATAAACTCAGAAAAATTCTCAAAAGGTTTGAAATTTTTTTCTGTTGATACCAGTACAGGCTCCGACAGTGGACTTAGGCTACAGGTAAGCCTGTCTCTCCAATTTTGGGGCAGTGGTTTGTCCTGTGACCTCAGTTCTCTGCTGTACCTAAGAAAATTAATTAATTTTCAGTTGTTCAGCTTTTTTCTTGTTGTGAAGATGGGAGTGATGACTTCTAAGCTATTTCTGTGGCAGACTGGAAACCCAATGGGAGTTTCTTATTTAATATTTTTAACATCTAACAAGTAACTTTTTAAATCTCTTGGTAACTCATTCCCTATTTAAGAGCTTCCTTTTATAAATTGTTGTGTAACCATTACATCTACTTGTGGAGTATGTGGCTCCCCAGCCACCTGGAAGTGGACAACCAAAAGGAGGTCAGCAAGCAGAGGCACCTGGTGTTTGCTTGGCAGCCATAGCCTCTGTGTTACTTTGGTAGCCAGAGAAGAAATTTATTATGGCACTGAAGTAAAAAAATCAGGCACACCCTTCTGCAAACTGAACTAAAAAAAACACCATCTAAAATAAAATCTAGATATAAAATGGATAATCTTAACAGTAGTTCTGTAACTATAAAAAAATATTATACTTAATTTGGAACTGAAACAAAATTTGCCTACTTTTTCCATATCAAAATCTAAAAGCTTTTTTTCTATTATTTTCTCTTCCATCTCCATTTCTCTCTTTAGTTCTTACTCTTGTTCCCCCTGCCATTGCTTACACTTCCCTATTAACCCTGCGGTCTACAGCCTCTGAAGCAGCCCCGTGATTTCTGCCTCCTTCAGCTCCGTGTCCTTCCCTCTTATCAAGTGTTGCTTAGAACCGCTGACTTGCTTTCAATGAATAGAATACAACTGGAGTGATGAGGTGACACTTCCCGCATTAGGTTAACTAAGAGAATGTGTCTTCTCTTTTGGGTGGGCTCTCTTGCTCTCTGGTTCTGAGGGAAGCCAGATACAATCTTGTGAACTGCCTTTTAGCAAGGAACTCACTTCTCTGGACGATAGTCAATGGGGAACTGAGATTTGGCATTGGCTGCGTGAGTCAGCTTGGAGCTTAGAAGTGAATCCTCGCGTAGCCAAGCTTTGAGATGGGGCAGCCCTGGGCCGCAGCCTGAGTGCAGCCTTCTGAAAGAGGCACTTACCTAGGCTTCCCCTGGATCCCTGACCCACAAGAAATGTGAGCTAATTCTTGCTTGCTGTTCAAAGCCACTAAGTTTTAAGGTGATTTTTATATAGCAATGACTCTTTTGTAGTCATCTCTTTTCTGGCTTCCCCATTTTGAGGAAACAAAAGTAAATAAAGTGTATCATTTAAAGACTTATATGATGATAGTTATAATAATTTCAAAATTGTAAAGCTATTTACTTTCAAATTATTTGCACATACAACTGTGCGTTGAAATTTTAAAACATTTGAATTCTAAAAATTCACATTTAAGTCCTAAACACCTGTACTTTACAATATTACCTTATTTGGAAGTAGTATAGTTTCAGATGAAATTAGTTAAGATGAAGTTATTCTGGAGTAGGCTGGGCAATGAATCCAATGACTGGAGTTTTCATAAATGGGGAATTTGGACTCAGCACATGTGCAGTGAGAAGACAGTCTTCTACACAGCGAGAAGCCTGGATAATCCTCTCCTCACAGCCGTCTGGGTGCAATGAGTGTTATGTAAAATTCGTTTACATTATGTCTGTGATGTAAAACCATGTTTTCTTAACATTAAATTAACATTAGATGATGTGATTTGTTTTTCATGTACTAAGTTCTGAAAGCCCTGTGATTTACTATAGTTGCCCTCTATCCGTATCGGGACTCGCTCTGTTTTTCAACAGGCTGGACGTCAGTCCGCGTGATTACTTCTCAGCTTATGCAGCAATTTCAGTTTTCTGTGTCTTAAAAGCCAGCTCCCTGGACACCATTATTGCAGCTGTTTACTAGCATTCAGTGCTGTTGCTTAATGATACCCAAACATCAGTGTCCCATGGAGAGGCATTGGTATTTATGAACAGAAATCTTGATATTTTGGAGGGAGCGATCACAGCTGCAGCCAAACAGGTACCACTGCTCGAGTGTGCTGGTTTCTCTGAAGTGAAAGAGTGGGGTCCCCAGAGACAGGCTCACTGGCAGGGTCAGTTTCATCTGTAATTACATATGTGTTAAGACACGCAAAGATATATGTCAGGGTAGCCAAGACCTTTTGTTTTACAATCCGACTCCTACCTCCTTCA